GCACCAATCAGAGCTGTTGAAAAACAACCAATCACAGCAGAGCATCATGCTTTAGAAGATCACGTATGACCAGGCGACCTCATCGCCAGAAGATGACTAGCAGTATGGAAGCGAAACGTCGCGATCTACATCACACGTGACTACATCGTGAGACAAACGAAAAAACTTACCTTTTATTGTTATTCACCACGATGAATAACCGCCTTTTTTAGGAAGCTAATAGTTGTCTATCTAGCGATTCAAGTTTTTTACGTTCCTTTCAAAACGTTGTTCTTTACTTAAACATAACACTTATCAATACCATAGTACGTTTTTATAAAATATTTGACAAAAAAAACCAAGGAAATTAACGACAATAAACAAACGATTAAGGCTATGATTTCAGTTCCCCATAAATTTTAAAATCATCTGAAATTTTTTTCCATAATCAATCATCTATTTTCAGTGGTAACAAGAAACTAGTGAACAACAAAGTTTGAAGTACTTTACAAATTATTCCAGCTATTAAAAGTAAACATTATAATGAGAACTATGTATCTTAACCACAACATAAATTTAACAAATAGATTCCAAGTTGCCCTGCGTCTGTTCAGTAATAGATCACAGAGGACGTCAAAATGCAGTAAGAACAAAAAAGTGGCACACGAGGCGCAGCCGAGTGTGTCACTGATGTTCTTACCACGTTTTGACGTCCTCTGTGATCTAATACTGAACAGACGCACGGCAACTTGGAATCTATTTGTTTTATATAATTAATGATGACGTCATCTATACGTCTATCCTCCAATAGTTCATCAGTGAGAACCAATCAGAATGCGTGCACAACTGAGCTTATTATATAATAAGAAATAGAGGATATTACATGGCCGCGCGGGGATACGTGCGAACCGGCCACGTGCCTGAGCGGGAAGCTCTCTTGTAATTGGCTAATCATGTTAGTAACCACGGTAACACCAATATCCTCACACGTGAAAGATAAAAATAGTATCTTCACTGCGCGCGATGAAGATATGACTTTTCAGTAAAAGGGAATATCCTGGTATTTCATCAGTATCTATATAATGACATAAATTAAATTATAGCTGTTAGAAATAATCTCAAAAAAGGATTTTGTATTTCCCATTTGTTGCATTGCTAATGTACCTGAAAAAAATTACGCGCTTCTGATTGGCTGAAAACGAGTGTACTTTTATGTAACACGCGAGCAAAGTTGTAGCACAGTTGTAAACGTGTGTAACTTAGAATTGGGCAATTTGTCCTGTCGTGGTTATTACTAAACAGACACACGGCAATAAGGAATCTATTTTTACTACATAAGTAAGAAGCAAAACTGTTGTTCATGGTGTCGTCATCTACTAGATCGTTTTTGAGAACCCATCAAAATGCAGGTAGAATTCAGTTTATTATACGAAAAAAGATAGTGCGTTAGGCTTAGAACTTTGTGGTTCAAAAATAGGGGATGGCGATTTCTTAAAGATCAAAATTATAAGTAACATATTTCGTAGAAAGGCGTCATAGACTGATTTCTCTTTTTCAGCAGAGCTTTTAGGATTTAAGCATACTGATCACATGAAGGAAAATGTCATAACTCTGTTGAAAGAGTACGCCTTGCAAAGAGACATGGTGAAATTTACACATTTCTGAAGAAAGTGTCAGTCATCCAAGGAAAGGGAACTCATCTGTGATGCTACACCACTCCCTGGTCGCCAGGCTGGTTGTTGCCAAGCTGGTTGTTGCCAAGCTGGTTGTTGCCAGGCTGTTGGCGGCATTGGTGCCTGAGCGGCAGCTGGTGGATTCAATGCCCCAGCATAGGCCCGTGGTTGATTGTTCAATGGTCGTGATGCACCTCGGCCAACTGGGTGTGGCGGAAAATCTGTTCCGGCCCATGCTGTCGTATTACCTTCAAGGGGTGACGCTTTATTCGTGATAGCAATACTGCTCCAAGATGTTTCTACAGCAAGACGAGAACAAAAAGAAATATAACAACATCACACCGCTAATGTTACTTAGCGAGATTATATACAAACTGAAATTTACACATTTAAATGGTGCGAAATAAATTTTCCTTCACAAGCTAGTTGAAGAAACCGAGAGCCAATCAAAGGGCACGTATCGCACACCCTAAGGTCCCACGAATATAGGAAATGATTATTAACTAAACAAGCTCTTGATTGTTACAAAAACTATTCTTATAAGCACCATAGACAACTGTACGGATAATATGCATACTGATGTTAGAGTGTTACGGTTATAATTTCATTAGAGTAAAAATTATGATTGCCCTTATACATGTAATTTGAGGTCAAATAACCCTTAAGTCACGCCCAACTCAACTTCTTCAAGGGGTAGAGGAAAAATTGAAAATAGCCTAGAATCATCCAAAGTTGTGTCCGGCAAAAACGAACACCTGGCTTCTTAAAGTGGAAGGAGAGCTCAAAGTCTGGAACCACACATGGAGCACCATCACCAAGCTGGCCCAAAACAGACAGGAGTGGAGAACCTTCGTTGCTGCCTTACGTACCAATTGGATGGTAGTTGCCCAGTTAGCCAATGGGTAGTAACAAACACTGGCAAATAAATGATCTATTCAAGACCTACCTTGATGAGCTAAGACTCCTCTTGCTGCCATGCCGGGAATGTTTGGTCGTCGAAGAGGCTGTGACAGTTGAATACCACGTCCCCTTCCCCTTCCTCTACCCACTCCAAAGGTAGATGTTGGTTGCTGGGCTTGGGCCTGACGACTTTGTGGAAACTGCCAAGCTGTAGACTGTGGTGGTGCTTGAGCTCTCCTCGTGTATACAGTGTCATCATCACTGTCATCATGCAGACTTTGTTGGTCATAGGTGGGTCCTGAGCGAGTGTACACACCTTGATTACTGGAAAGACCTATAAGAAAATTAAGAGGAACAAAACAGCTCTATTGACTTCAACAATAATTTAAACTGTAAAGAGCGGGGAAAAGTATCATTTTCACCTCCAACTTCATAGAAGTGAACATAGATGGGGCTGTACTCAAACTTTTTTTAATCAATGGTGTTCATCTCACCATACTTGAGTGAGTTTGAGCTTGAAACTTCTCATTTTGAAACAAGAATCAATGCAAATTCTGAATTATTTCTGTCTTCATACTTCCCTTGGGTAATGCTCATCACCTTTTATATCGTCAAATGTCTTTAAAATCTACATCACTCACCAATACAAGAAATTTGACCAGAGAGCTTAACATAAAATGTAGGTAGGGTAAGAAAAGGTTTAAAAAGAACTAGTATGTGTGTATATTATGCCTGTTGGACATAAAGTTAAAGAGCCTCAGTGGATATTCTGTATAGTGAGGCAGATGAAAACGAAAACTACCTTACCTTTACTTCTGGCTCCACCATTAAAATAGCGATAATCTCTTGAGGCAAAAGGCCTATTATCTTCCAGAGGTCTATTTGAATATCTGGGCTGTGTTTCTTCTCGAGAGGATGATCCTTTGCTATCTGCAGGCTTAATCACAGTACAGAAGACTCCATCTGGTCTTTCTGGTACATGGTTTGGAGTCAGTGGGATTCCATAAACTGAGCACAAGAAATCTGATATGCAGTAGCTTGGAAAAAAAAATGAAAACAAAAGGTCCTCAGCTTATGAGTCGCACAGCCCATACTACTAGTTGAAAGCTTGGCCCAGTTTCAGTAGCATGAAGCAAGTACCAGTAATGCTTTTCCTCCTTAGATAAAAAGCCAGTCCATCATGTGGTTACCTTACCCATCTACACCATTTTTTTACCAAATTAGACAACTGGATGGGTCAAGTGTTAAGTGTCTGCCCAAGTATCTAACAAAAGTGATCTTGCCAGGGCTTCAACCTGGCTTGTCCCACATGCTAACCAGGAGGCTCTCACTTATCCATACAGAACAGGATAAACTTTGTAAAACAATAGTTACAAAGGCAGCAAGTGCAACCCATCTTAATTCTTCAATTTTTATTTACCAGTATCGCAAGACTGTTCCCAAAGCACAGAACTTTACTTCCTGTTTTTCATGCCAGTCACACCTGGAAAATTAAAAAAAATAGTCAGTTTTCCTTTTATGCATTGAGAAAAAAGAGATTTAATAAAAAACAACAACAACAATCGTACAACAATGTATTGTATTGCAGGCTTTGATGAGGACTGTCTGAGGGCATAATAATTTAAATTTCCAAGACACATGGGAAAGGCATTAGTTTGCCCAGTTCAGCTCTTCTTGCTTGGGTTTGTTTCTTCATAGTCCTGAGAAGAACCATTTCATGCTGAAAATAGCCAACTGCTTTCGCTTCCTGCTGGGTAGCAAGAGCTTTAAACCAAGTTTTGTTTGATTAGAAAAAATTTAGTTCAAAATGATTTAGCAAAGGCCTCTGGCTTATACATCATTTTGTACACAACAACTGGATCAGCCAGTTATAACTGTAACATAAAGATTTACATTTTTCTTTCCCTTTTCTTTGGGTCTGGGCAAAGGATAAAAGAATTTAAAAAAAAGGGAAGGAAAAAAGGAAGATGGGGCATGGGAAATAGGATACTGTATGTGCCAAAATATATTTTGAAATTAGCTTAATAATCCAAAATTTTTGAAGAGGAGTCTGAAGGAAGTATGATGGAATTAGAAAAAAAATGGAAAGGAAAAGAAACATTCGCAAGACAAAGTGACAAACACATACCTTGAATTTGGTTCATAATCAAAAATAGTACTGGAGATAAGCTCTGTTGCCTTTGACTTGGAAATCCCCATGGTACTACCAGATTCAGCCGTGAAATGTGAGTGTAAGTCACATATTACTCCTTCTAACTCGTACACTTTCTTCAATTTGTTTGGCATTTCTGAAATAAAGACAGCAAACCCCACAGTCACATGATCAGTAAGTTCTTCACTTGGTTGGTAGATGGGGTTGGTAAACACTCTGCAAAGAAGGAGGCTATGGAAAATTTACCTGTACTTTCATCTCAGTGAAACTGGGTCAAGCAGATCCTGGCCTTTTGATTCCAGAGATGGGTTTAAGAAAATTTTCAGCAATTACAATTGACTCTTTTACTTTACTGGTAACCCATGAGTGACCAAGACAGAATTTCTCCTTACGATGTCAATACAATATCAAGCAGACAAGTGATGAGAAAAGATAATAATAAGGGGATTATTAGTTGATCCAATATCAAATTCTCCAAACTAACATTATAAGAACTTTCGAACTCTTCAAGGGTACAACATTGTATTATTCAACAACTACATTATATAACTACTGATTCTATAATAATTAATTCAAATTTTGTCTGATTAATTCTGATTAACTGGCAACAAATTGATATTATTGTTACAATTAATATGATGTTCCCTTTAAGAACCTTAAAATATACATTTATTTTTTTTCTACTAAGATCCTAGAGATTGCATGTAATGCAGTGTCAAGAAAACATATGTTGTGGTTCAATTTTTCTTTGTTTTAAAATTATCAAAATGCTTTGATTGTTTTATTCCCTATTATCCTTCTCCAACAGTAAAAATTAGGTCTGCACTATGCATGTGTGCTAAACTAGTGCAAAATGAGATAAGTTATTTATAATCAAATAATGACATGCTTACAGCTGTACTGCACTTTACGTTTATTTGGAAAGAATGCTGAAGTACGCTAACATTAATATTTTTTTACTGATTTTTTTCGACAGACTTTGCCAAAAAAAATAAGGGACAGCTCATAGTCTAGGGAGAAGTTGGAAATTGCAGGTCTATCACTATTGGGAGATAAAAGGATAAGGTGAAACTACCCTGCTGAGTAAATAAGGAATTTTCCAAACAAATCTATTCTGTTTCTTGTTGTCTTACCTGCTTTTCTAGCCAACCACTGAAGGCAATACTCAGTTTGTTTTGTTTCTGATATCTGAAAAGTGAGAGATAAAAATCAATTAAGTTCTTTTTACTCCTTACTAAAAATCATAAATATCAACCATTATTCTGTTGTATACTTTAAACATCACTTTTGTTTTGCAAAGGTCACCAATATTCACCTTATGCCTAGAAGAAATTTAATAGCGCTCACGGTGAAGGCCATTACAAGTGGTCAGAGCTAAATCAGCTTAATTAGTCAATTTTTAAAAGTGGCAAATGTTACAGTATATTAAGTGTATGCCACCATTTGCAAGCTGATCCTTCTAGTTGGTCCAGTGTAGCTTCAGCATATAACCTTTTGACCCTAGGGCCAGGGTGTGAAATTGCAGTTTATACGGGCACCAATGCGATTAAATTTTTTACTTTGTTGACCAAATCCTAAAACTTAGTTGCCAAATTGGCAACTAGAATGTTTCATCATAACCTTACTTAGAGATATGGTGAATTAAAAAGATTTGCAAAAGATAAATCCGCAGCAAACTTCCTCATTAAGTTTGTTTACAAAACATAGCACATGCATCTTGATCAATAGCTAAACACCATCTTGGATTTAGGATGTAAGTGAGCTTGAACGTTGTATATCCTCCATCCTAGTGTCCACTTTGTGGCAGGTTAAAGATCTTTTCCCTACCTTAATTTTAGAGGGTCTATCTAGAGCGCTGACAGAATAAAAAAGGGTTCGTTTGTCTTTGAAAATGGTGACCAACTTTTTTTAATTGGCTACCACTTTGAAGAATTTAGGAGCCAAGTGGCTATCAGAAAAAAAATATTAATTTTACGCCCTGCCTTAGGGTGAAAAGCATCTAATTTCTCCTTAAAATATCACCCCTGAATCACAAATCAAGGTCATGGTAATAAAGGAAATGATATCCAAACAAAGAAACTCTTGATTTTTCAGTAAATTCTTATTGTCAGGATCTAGGGAAATGTATAAAGAACAGTAGGGAGAAAACACATACTGATGTTAATTAAGGTGTAAAGGATTAACAACATTTAAAGAGCATGTCAAAGTTTGTGATACAAGGCATCCATCCTTCTCGTTAATTAATTTCCAAGAATAATTTACAAGACTTACCCTGCAATACACAGGAGGAAAAATTGGAGTTTGCTCTGGATTGACAAAGCGTAACAGATCCAGCCAGATCTTGCGGTGGCTGTCATCTCTCTTTGCCAAACCTTCAACTGGGATCTGATGAGTTCTTTCACCTAAACAGTGAAGGACATGAGGTTGAGGACAAGTAACCCATTTTCAGACAATGAATGGGAAGTTTGGAATACTGGGCTGGTACATGTAGTTTTGAAGACCAAACATGCCTCAGTCTCCTTTCTAAGTGGCTCCAGTTTCCCTAGGAAATTTTAAGTTGTAGACTCCTGTTTGTCTTGGTCCATAAAATACATAAGAGAAAGACTTGGCAAATACATTTGTATTCAGCCATCTTTAAGACCTCACACTTGGTCAATAATGCATATATTTGCATATTATCTGAGTATTGAATGATAAATCATAATAATAAACAAAAATGATGTCAACACACAGAGTTTGTACTTACTTGTACTCACAGCTGTGTACCGAAGGCCTACTCTAATTTCACCTGTAAAAACCGAAATCATCATAATTTGATTTTGCACTTTGAAGAAAAAAAGCTCATGATTCATTCAGAGTTAGAATGGATGTTTGGAGAAGGGGCAGGAAAAGGTGAAAAGAAATTTCTATTTCCTCCATCCCTTCCTTCTTCTTTCTTTCAAATTTGTTAGTACAAATTTTTTTTACTCTCCAGCCTTCTGCTGCTATGCGAATCAAAGATGCAGCTATAAGCACACACAAGAACGCTGAGCACTTCCTGAGCCAAAATCATGCTGACTCTGCAGGCTAATTATGTAATGAAGGCATAACTTATGTGAGTTGCTGCTTGCTTGCATATTAAATTTTCAGCGAAATTTCTGATGGGATGAAAGTAAGAAAGTACATACCAGGTTTGATAAAATAGTGCATCTTCTGCATTATTCCTCCATTCAACGAATATTCCACTACACCTAACTCACAAGGAAGGAATCCTTCATCGGGAAGATCATACAGGGACATGAACCCGATCATATAGAACTTTTCATCACATATGGCTGAAAGACCAAAAGACAACCAAGTGAGGTTAAATTTTTAATGATTTGAGAAACTCTACAAGCAGTTAAGATTGGTAAATTGATTCAAGGCTGTGAATGGTTTAATTGTATAGTTCAGTTAACAAAAAAAAATAACACCATCATTTAAACAGTGGGAGATGATTACTCAAAGTAGCAATGGAAGACAGAGATCATAGTATTCTACAAGTATTAAGGCCTTAGCAGTTGTCAGAGAAATTGGAAAATAGTGCTTTGGAGTTACTGGCATGACAAATACCAGTAAGAGAGAAATAGTAGTGAAAATGAAAGTGATCTTCACAGTAAGGAACACTACTTATATAAGCAGTAGTGAAAATAAATTCAGGCCTGTATGGGAGTTGAACCCATGACCTCTGTGATACCAGTACAGTGCTCTACCAGCTGAGCTAACAATGTGAGCTGGGAGCTTTTTCACTACTGCTCAAGTAGTGTTCATCACTGCAAAGGTCCCTTTCATATTAATTTCTTAAACCACAATTCACATACATGGTTTTCATACAGTCACAATCACATGTATTCATCACTTCACAGGTTTACTATGAACCAACCTATTGACCAGCTCCCAGTTGCCTTGTTAGCTCAGTTGGTAGAGCACTATACAGTATCACAGAGGTCATGAGTTCAAATCCCATGCAGGCCTGAATTTTTTTCAGGCCTTATTTTCACTACTGCTTACATGCAAGTAGTGATCATTACTGCATAGACTGCTTTCATATTCATTCCTTAAACCACAGTTCACAAATATGATTTTCATATGTTCACAGTCCCATAGAAATAGCAGTATTGTTGACACAGCATTTTATCCTCTCACCTCTTCCCGGTAACCAACCTCTCTTTACTTCTTCTCTTTCTTCTTTCCTACGTTTTTCATTCAAACTTACAGTATCTACACGTCTCTGCAATTAAAAGAACACATATTAGAATATATACCACACAAGTGAATAGTGGTCTTTGCGTGCTCTGATTAGCCAGTTGGAAAGTGAATAGCTGGTACTATTCACTTCTAAGCAGCCAAACAGACAAAACCTTATGTCAAGAGTTCAATTTCTGATTATTTTGCAGTATATTGAAAGAAATAAACTGATTTTGGGGTATCTATGTGGTGTATCCTGAAACAATTATTCACCTCAAAGTTAATGTAAGTGTCAGATATCTACCAGACCGCAAAAAAGTGAGGTAAATATCCTGCAAAATTGTTTAGTATCATATCTGACTAAACAGACAAATAAAAAAATATACTGTCGTGTAAAATGGATGCTACAGTAGATCTCTTCATTGGTTTAGTATGATATGTAAATACAGTCACACTAGCGTTAAGTGGCAATGAATTAAGCAGTCACACTGAATTAAGCAGTCACACTGCATTAACCCTTTAACTCCCCAAAGTGATCAATATGTGACTTCTCCTTAGAGTGTCCATATATTATCCAACAAACAGGTGAAGAGAATACACAAACCTATTAGGAAGAAGTTGTTGTCTTGATCTAACACCAAATTCTCATTACTAATTTACAAGGAAATATGTAGCAGCTAAAGGGGAGAATAGACAATCAGTTCTTGGGAGTTAAAGGGTTTTCAGTATGTTTTAGGGTTTTAGCAGTCGGTTTTCAAAGTCCCAAATTCTTCTCCCTAATCACTGTAATTTTCATCTCAATGAGGTGGTCACCTCTATCAACCTTTTCACTCCCAAGATCTCATTTCTCATTTCTCCTTACTGTCTGCCATGCAATTCTTATGATGTTAGTTCAGAGAATTTGGTATTGGATCAACTAATAATCCCATAATTGATATTGTTCTCTATTCTCATCACCTGCCTGCTTGATATTGTATTGATATTATATGGAGAAATTCTGTCTTGATCACTTGTGGGAGTGAAAGGGTAAAGAAGTTGTGGTCATCCTTTACTGAGTCCCACCAGCTTGTTTGCATTGTCTTCCACATGCATTGAACAGTCACTTAAGGGGAACCACCCAAGTAAAACTATGAATAATCTTTTAGGTAAAATTTAATCCATATTCCTCTCCCAAAACCAATGTTGGTAGTATTTTTAAGAGAGTTTGAATACATTAAGTGGTCAATTATAGTATAAAAGGGTATTTTTAATCTTTTTTTCGTATGAAACCCCTATTCTGTGGAACCTGTATGAAGTGGTCACCCTGCCACTCCTTGTGGGTGACTACTTAACCCTTTACACCCTAACATCAGTATGCATATTCTCCATACTGTTCTCCATACATTTGCAAAGAGGCTGACAAGGAGAATTTGTTTTACAATCAAGAGCTGCTTTAGTTGGTGATCATCTTCTCTATTCTCATAACTTTCATGTTTCATTCAGGGGTGATACAGTACAGAGAAATTAGATGCTGGTCACTCTTAGGGGCTAAAGGGTTCATACAGGTTCAACTTACATTTTAATTCGCCAAAAGGCAACTTTGAAAAAAATCTGAGCTTGAGGCCCTGTTAACAGTTTAATCTAATTATGATTTTTGGTGACTCTAAAGAAGGTCTGAAGCTTCTTGCCCTAAAGTAGCATTATTTCAGAGTTTCTGTGACTAACTTACAGATATATACTCTCCAGTGCAGTCCATTTTATCATTTCGGGCAGGGCGATATTTCTTATTTGCTTTGTCTTGCCGAGCCATTTCTTGATATACCTCTTTCTCATGCTCAGGTAGTTCCTGTCGTCACACAAGAGAAAATATTCTACAGTAACCTTAATTTCTAAACAGTTTTCAGTCCAAAGGCAAAAGCAATTAAAACCATCTAGGCTTAAAATATCAGGTGGAGTAAAAAAATTCAACAAGACAAGACAAGTTTAAAATAACATTGTAATCCATCTAATCTCCTTGTTCATGCATCCTTGGTCTTATACGTATCATATTACAGAATATGCACCAGGTAAAATTGGGGAATATCTAGCATCATAATCATGATTGGATATGCCCCAACTGAAAACTGGAGAATATTCGAGGATATACTACTAGTGATATACTCCACCATTGTCAAACCTTACATCCACTATAATAAAGGCTTTCCTTCAAAATTTAATTCAAGATGAAAGAGCATTTTATTAGCTATTGTTACTGAGGGGACATTTATTTCTCATTAAGTCATACAAGAAAATAATGGAAAGAAAACATCCCACATACAGTAAACAGTGAACAATTTGAAACCATTTTTTCCCAAGTGTTACAAAAAGGCACGAAAATATGCTTGTAAATTTGTCCTTGGAATTTATCTGTTCTTGTAGGCTCACAGTTCTCCTTGAGCTTGTTCTCAGAAAACAGATCATATTTGCTGCCAAATGTGCAAGCATGTTAATGGGCCAAATTGAGGCTATTGTTTATAAATTCAAACACCTCCAATTCTGATCTAATTTTAAAAAGATCGTTTTGCTGTTGTTACAGATAAATGATTATATTTGTCTATTCATAGAGTTGAAATAGAGAACATCACTGTTTTATAATTAATCCTTTGTTGATCAAGCTTGTTTCTGTCAAGATAGCTGGATATTGCCCTCATTCCCTTTTTGTTTTTTTCATGGACTGAGATAAAGTCAAGGTCCATAATAGTGCAAAAAAAAAAAAAGACTCTGCCAATATCCTGCCATCTTTACCCCACCCTTGGTCAATACTGTATATATATTTGTCACTGGACATATCTTCCCTATTTCTCTTTTTCTTTACTCCTGTAAAACTGTTTGTTTCTCCAAGCAACATTTCTTCAGAAAGTATCTGAGAACATTGTTTATCAAGATCATGCCTCCTGGCAGACAATATTCTCCATTCTCATTACTTGTCTGTGCAAGGCTGTATTAAGCAATGCTGGGAAAACTTATGCGCATGTCACTCCTTGAAGTTCAAAGTTAAATGACAACGGTTATAATCGTTTGCACATCAGCCTTTTAGTGTTTACTTAGACAATGCAAAACACAATACAAAAATATTGTATTCATGTTTTGATTTGACAAGCGTAGTTTTGTTTCCACAGCTGCTTATTTTGAAAAATACAGCCGTACAGTTAGTAGCCACAGTTTGTTGTTCTTCTTAGGTAATAGATGCCCCTGTTTTCGCTCCATTTTCAAAAACAATTCTTAGAAAAAGCATAGCTTTGGCTAAAAAACCTCTCTGTCAAAGCCTTCCCCATCACTGCTGCATCTCGTATGCAAGAGGAAAAATTCATTTCACAATTAGACAGTGTACAACTCAAAAACACATGACAGAATAAACCCATATTTTTACCAGTGTTCGAGTTACTGTCAGATCGTTTAAGCATTCCTCGGCACGCGATGCTACAGGAAATTCTCAAAAATCCTTTCACTTTCGTAGAAAGCTCTTTCTAGGTACAAAGTTTCAGTCATATGTGTATTGATTTTGAGATGAAAAACAATGAACCTTTAAACCCCCTGGTATTATTCGGACCTGGAATCTCTTAAATGACACCATCAGCCAACTTACCTTCCATCGAGGGCCAGCAATTTCTGCCAATGATCTCATGCCATTTTCTAAAACTACCCCCTGCCTTTCTAGTTGGGGCCGCAAAGAAACCATAAAGAAGTAAAAAGGGTTCCTTGCTTGATTGTTTTTCTTTTTATTCGGCATGGTTTTCACCTTCTAGGTCCCTTTCACACGATTAATCTGCTTCAGGTTGAAAATGACTGAGTCAGGTCCAGTCTCCAGGAAAACACGCGCAAGCCTCGTTCTCATGATTTGATAACAAGGCTTTTAGAGCTTGACTAACATAAAATCAGAACCAAAATATAAAATTTGCCGAGAATACATCTTTTTTTTCGCATTTACTTCTTCCTCATTTTAAATTTTGAGTTTCTGTCAAGGAGGATGAGACCAATAATCTCTCGAACTCAGAGATTTTGACTCGTTGGCTTAGCATAACAAAAACCCATGTGCATAAAGATGAGACTCAAATTTTGGTTATCTGTTGAAAAAAGAATTTCCAATAATAAAGGTCTCTATCGAAAAAGTCAAGATTTTTTTAAAAAATGAAAATGAAAAATCTCTTAAATAAACACGAAATTTATCTGAACAGACACATTTATAAAGCAAAAAGCAAGTAACACCAGTCAATGAGAAAAGAGTTTCCTTATTTTATTGCACAAATGTCTTAATGTAGCCTCACTTTTCCAAGGCATCATCCACCTACCGATGAGAAAAATATTTCCTTTCATCATTATAATTACATTTATGATAAATATTGCTCTTTTAGCATTGAAATCTCTTGTTTCCAACATTTTATGGCAAATTTTACCATTTTTGTTAATTTATGAACCTTACTAGTAAATACAGAATAATACTAACATCATTAGTTAATAAATAAATACCTGTCAGAGTGAACAAGGACAAGAACAAAACAACCTGTGGCCATGATAATTCTTGCCAAAACTGAATCCAAGAATTTTTGCAACATTATTGGTTGAAAACTATATGTTTTTTGAAGCCATTTTAACCCTACTTTAACAAAAATAGAATAAAACTATTGCCTGTAAAGATAGAAGATAATGATTGTCAGCTGCAAGCTTGTAGCCAGCTAAGAATGAGATAGAGACAGCCATGACTTGTATAATAATCATAATTATTTTTTGTCCCTTACCCTGTCAAAAATCAGTCTCAGGGTATACCTCCCATTCGTTTACAACATTTTGTTGGTGGCACACTCCAATTATAAATGAATGAGTTCATGAGATGAGTTTCTTGATGACAAAGCTTTCCATCCTTTTGCAATTGGCGATGTTTTTGGTACATATCAGAAACAGACTGTTTATGACTAACAATGTGAAGGTTATTGCAACCTCTTGAACGATATTCAGTGTCAAATCTGTAGTCATGGACTCTATTAACTTGGAGAGGAGCCAGCCATGTTCCTAAAATCAAGGTGGATTACTTTGAGAATAACCTTGAATAATATAGTATCACACCTTGTCAGTAATAACATAATCACCACTGTCATTCAACCATTTGTAATTTCCTTTGGAATAACTATGATCATCATTACATCAGATGATACCCAAAACATCCAACTGCAGATTTTTCCTTAGCCTGTATATTAGAACAATTACCAATTGAGCTTTGTAAGTAATCTCTGATTGCAATAGTTTTGCTTTTCTTTCATTCTGTGATTTCCGGTTACAGCAGTTGGGTCCAACACACAAGCAAAATTCTGTGTTTTGTTCATACAGGAAATGCTTGTTTAGCAACTGAGATGTACTGCTTACAAGGGAAATTTCAGCTCCGTTAGAGAGGTGAGCCAGGTGGGATATTTCATGGTCTTACCTGAAGTATTCCAAAGTTTTTAGACTTATAATACCCTGTTTACTTGGATCTCAACAACGAAATACAGAATCTTGTAAACCTGACTGAACCAACTTCCCAGATGAACATCCCTTTTAATGTTCATAGGAAAAAGTGCTTAGGAAGGATCTTAGGCCATACTAGCCTGTTTTATGATGCCAAAATGAAAAAAAACCTACTTTACTTACCATCTCTAAACATGCTTCACTTACCTACAGATACATCTTCACTGTTAAATTTTTGCAAGAAATCTGAGTTTCGAGCAATAAAATTGACCAGATCTCTAGAGAGTACATAACCACCCCCTTGCGCATAAGGCAAGTATCTGTCGCAGAGATTCCAATTTTTTTCAGCCCACGGACCTGTAAATTTCACATGTGCATCTCCACGAAAGAAACCCCAGTACAATCTTTTCATTGAATATGTGCTTTGGAGCTCATTGAGGATAACATTCAACCGTACAAAACTATCATCATCAACCTTGAGAAGATATGAAAAATTCGCATGCTGATCGATCCATTTGAGTGCTTGCAAAACTTTGCTGGGTAGGTCCTTGTACGCATCTTTAAGTTCTGGAAGAAATATAATATCGTGATGTCGACTGTTTTCTTCTTCCACATTTTTCATGTCCTCTAGAGATAATTCCTTTATTCCAATCACAAATCTTGGAACTACCGATGAATGAAGAGTTTCTAGATTAGAAAGCCATGTTTTCCGCATAGCATCTCGTCTTTCTTTGCCATTAGGAGCTGTTAAAATCATAATAAATAGAAACGTTTCTAATTCCACTGGTATTGACTGTTCATTTGTTTTGATGGCCTTCTGGGGAAGCGAGTCATTCTTCACATCACAGCCGACTTTCTGGTTGAGTATGAATATGAATATTAACGCAACAAATAGAAGAAGTAGCAGAAAAGTTTCATTCCTTCGAAAAAGTTGTCTTTTTATGAAAGTCGAAATGTCCGCCATAGTTGAGCCCACAGTGCATATATTATTGATATGGCTGGGAGGATAATTCACGTACCTTACTTGAAATATGTTTTCCGTCGGAAATATCCGAGAGATTATTGAAGACTCCACGGAGGCGCCGGAAACCCCAACTTCTGAAGAAACATACATCCACGTGAAGAAATCGTTGATGAACGTTAACAAGTGTGTGTGAGATAAACTCGGTATTCTTTCCACGTCGTTGTGTTTTCCTTCATAGAGAATATTTAAATTGAGGATGTCACAGCTACCTCTTCCAAATTTTGGAAACTTTCGGCCAGCTTTTAACACTGGTGGAAATCCAGGGTGGCCGATGCAAACTGCACCGTCGATTTTTGGAAGACCATATAGTTCTTCGATGAGTTTTTCACCCTTACTGTCTGTTCACTCTTCTCCTGGCTACCCTGGATGTCACATCACGCCTGGAATACGGCCGAACATACCTTTATTACGACCTCCCTTTAGCCACGTGGTTTCCCAGGAAAGGAACCCATCGTTCCAACAACCACAGGCTACCAATGTCCAGGTAATTTGCGTCGTTAGACAATCGTTACAAGATTCTTAGCTCTGACTTGTTGATTTTGTGAGAATGAGAACGACTTTTGATTTATGGTATGAAGGATAATGGCTGCTATATATATATATATACACATGTGTGATATATACTTTACAAGTTAGCTATCAAGAATATTACAACATTCTGATAATTATGACCAATAATATCTATAGTTATTTGCACAGGTGAAGAAACCTTTAAAGGACCTCTTTTTCTACGTTCCTTGTGTCTTATTCCTTACATGCAGGAATTAACGCGAACATCATTTATGGGAAAATTGAATACTCAGTGAAAGCCTCCAGTGACTTTTTGTCCAACATCAACTTTTCCTGTGTTTTTCAAGTGAATAAAAGACAATTTGGAAGGGAAACCCTGCAGTCTATCAGATGACAGTTTGAGACTTTTTCCATTCCCTCCCCTCATTTTTCACAACACAACTCTGTTGGTGCAAATCATGACTGAGAAAAAATTTAATGAAATTTTTCCTAGTGATGGATCAGTGCAATAAGTGTATCCCTCAGGTCATATACATCACTTAGTTTGTGCTTGTTTTTTAGGAAAAATAATGAAAAATTTAATCTCTGATTTTGCTAAAGATTACTGTCATTTACACCTGTGTTTTAAGAAATAAGTCTGCCTATATTTTTGTACAATGTGGTTATAGTTAATGATGCCCCTACTCTTTGTTTCATGAAGGGATCAGCAAGCAAAACAACAGAAGATAGGGAAAATGTCTCTTTGAGGAAAGAATTCAGTTGTGATGCTTGTCAGAAAGATTTTTCAAGTAAAGAGACTCTGACTGCACATTTGGGATCCCACATTCAGGTATGATATATGAAGGTTGCTGAGGTTTATTATTGTAATTAATTTGTTTGTATGCAATATTAAAACAGGTTGGCCTAGTTTAGTATCAGAGTGCAGAGAAGATATGCGCAATAGAGCTTATGGTTTATTATCTTAATTTGAGAACACTTTACCGTCTAGCAACCATTTGCAAATGTCAATGGAATGTTTTTCTCGAATTTATGTGGCTAGCTTGAGGGATATTGGGGAATGGAGTCATAAAATTAAGAGTAAAGATCTACAAAGAAGTTTAACTAACTTTAAATGTGTTAAAAATCATTCTTTTTTTAAATCATAGGCTTAGTCTCTGATAAATAAAATTATCCTTACATAATTTTTTCCAACCATTGATCTTTCTGCTCATGATAACAATGAATTAAAATATTATTGATTTTGATTTATTTATTAATATTTTTCATGCTTTCTTTTTTAAACAGTGTAGTTATGAAGGGTGCAAATTCAAGGCTGGAAGGAAAGTTGTAAAACTTCATTGGATACAGGTCATTTGTTACCCATATTTTATTATTATTATTTTTAACTTCTTTATTGTTGATTGTAATCAAACTTAAAAAGTATCATTAATACAATATATTAAAGTATGAGCAGCCCCTTTTTTTGGCAAGGTCTGTTGAGTGAGTCAAAACAAATCAGTGAAAACAAAATTGAAGTTAGCATGCTGCAGGGTGCTCTTTGAGTGACGTTGATGTGCTGCAGGAGCTCCATGAGTGAGGTGCTCAAGATGCAAACAGTCATTTGAGAGCAAAGCTCAAGGGAAACTTTGAGCTTAGAAGAACAGGTTATATCCAAGGGTAAATCTACAAACACATTAACACCCCTAATGGAGGCTATTGTCTTCATTATCCTTGGATATTCACCAGTTTTAACTGGGGAACATTTGGTTGTCTGATGCATTTAGTAGAGAAAGGTAACCATTCCACTCCAAGGAGTGTTCAGTAACTAATTTCTCCCTTTTTTATGATAATATTGTCAAGCAGACAGGTGATAAGAGTTAAGAGGGCATATTGTTGGGATAAATACCAGATTCACTAGGCTTACATTGAAAGAAATATTTTGCTGGAATTAAGAAGATTTTATTGTAAAATCTTGGGGAGAAAAAGGATGGACAAATCAAAAAAATAAAAAAACAAACTAACAAATGATTATCAATTGACAATAATTTGTTTTTTAGACTCACGAAACTGGCAGAATGAGGATTAAGTTGGATTCCCCAGAGGAAATAGCAAAGTGGAGAGAAGAAAGAAAAAGGTGTTTGTGATAGCATTTTTCATTTAACCAGTTTGAAAAAAATTCTTTTAAAGTAATCTAGGATTCCAACTTAGTCAGAGCCTTTAGTAAGGCTCAAGCAAAGAAATTGGACAGGACCTTTTTTTTTGGGTTCATGATTTTAAGTCTAAATTAGTCCTTGGGGATCTTCAAGACAAAATGTTAGTAATGGATTTTTAGGAAATGCTTTGAGATTGGCTTGAGGATATATCAATTAGAATGTTGTGGCTATTCTGAATTAAAGACATACTGCAAAGTCTGTTTTAGTCACCTTAAGTGTTGATTGAGAATTTTTGTGGTCAATATTTGTAATGAATGATCACTTCTGAGGATATTAATTTTTTTTTTGGCATTATTTCACCAAAAGTAATTTGTTGATTTTATTTTTTTTGTTCATCTGATATAGGAAGTATCCCACTCTGGCTAATGTGCAGAAGAAAATGGAAGAAGATGCGAAGAGGAAAGCATCAGGGCAAGTTTTGAAAACCAAGAATTTTAGGTAAATGTAAGTTTGAATGTATGTGACCCAGAGCCCCACTGCACTTGCAATATATAGATTTAGCCAAGCCTAAAAGCAGAGCTCACATTTTTTTTTTCCCGCACATCTCAAGGGCACAATACCTTGCCTTGGCCAGGACTAGAACCCGGGTGGTCCGACTCGGAGCCCAGTGCACTGACCACTGGACTACTGAATAAAGCCGTGAAGTTGGTGTGCCCATGGTGCAATTGACCACGCATGTTAAAAGTAGCACTTTGTATGGTCGTATGGTCATACATCCAAATTTTTTCAGCTTGATGGGTTACTACTATTTTGTATAATTATGGGGCTTCGCAAGCTCCGCTATTATGTATTGGTATGAAAATTCTGAGCGTGACTCTACAATCTTCAAAATTTAAAGATACCGCAGAGGCCAGGGTAGAGGAAGATCATTTCAGCGAGGTGGTCAGAACCATTTTAACAACAGACGTCATCCAAAGAGATTTCCAAAGGAACTGAATGGATTAGATCACACAGCTGGTGACCAAGCAAAACAACAATTCAGAGATGTGAACCAGGAGAAGGTAGCACAACCTTCTAATAGATTACACAATGTTGAAGATCCACTTTCATTGGTTCTTGATGACTGCTTTGAAAATGAGCCAGGTAAGTTGTAGTGACAGATACATATCTCAACCAATTCTTGCTAAAAGGGAGCAAGATATAGTGAATGGGGTGATACGATTAGTTATAGACTAAATAAGACCTTCTTTGCCCACCTGGGACTGCCTACTTATTTACCGCAGAACCAACACCCCTTCCTTCCCTATTTCCCCCAAATTCTTACAGACTCTGACTTCACTCGGTTGATAAGAATGCAAAAGAAAAAAGAGTGTTAAGTTAGTATTGTATTGCTTAACCCATTTTTACATTCAAAGTCAATGAAATGTACTTTTTTCATGCAGGAAATCAAATGCGGGAGAGTTTATCTCAAGAAAGGTTGTTGAAGGAAACATCAGATAACTCTGACCCTGCACTTTGTAGTGGAACATCTGGGATTTCAGCGCTAAGTTCACTCTGCACAGCATATGCCAGTGACTCAGAAGATGACAAACCATCAGGTACCAATTTAGAGTTCAGTGTACCAATTTTAACCCTTTTGCTCCCAAGAGTCATTCTTGTCTGCCATACAATTCTTATTAATGTTGGTTTGGAAAATTTGGTACAAGAGCCACTAATAATTCCCTAATGTTAGTTTTTTTCTATTCTGATCACTTGTCTGCTTAATATTGTGTGAATGTCTGAATGAGAAATTCCTGGGTCATTCAATTCCCATGGGTCACTCATGGGAGTTAAAAGGCCAAGAGCAACAATGCAAATTTGGGCTGTCAAATCAGAATTTCTACATTCAATTTGTGATTCATTGTTTACTGGTAATTATCCTTTTGGTCCTGAAGAGACTATTTTGATCAGCTGTTCAGTGATCTCTTAAAAAATGGAATTCTGTTGGTAATTAGTTTGTGTTATATATATATATATATGACTGACTATAAATTGATTGGACAACCAAAACTTGGTCAAAAGAATGAGTTTCAGTTCCTGGCCATGCACAACAGCTATGATGAACAGTACAGTTCATTTATCATTTGATGCTGGGCTTGCAGGTGGGAAGCTCCTCCTATCGAGACATTCAAAAGACCATTAACATCTTTTATCAAACTCTGAAATTGGTCAGCTTTGCAATCAGCTAACTAAAAAACTTTTTTTATTTAAGTCTGTTAAAAAATTAGTAATTTTGTATATGTACTCAATCATTGACATTCAAGATAATTTTTTCCAGAGGAAATAAACAACATAAACACTGCCAGCCTTCCACAAGCAACAAAAACAGAAGAGGGAACTGCTGATAAATGTACATCTGCTGATACAAATGTGAAAAAAGAACAACGTAAAGCAACCAAAAGACGTCACAGAAAATCAAGAAAAATGTTCTCAAAGGTAAGTATTTTAATTACAGACATTATATCTCCTATTCTTATTCTGTAATCTTGCTGTGGCTTTGATAGACGAGGTGGACAGGGAATGGGGACATTGCATAAATATTTCAAGGTTAATTAACATATTAGCCTCCATTTTAGAAAATAATATGCTTTTATGTAACCATTGACAACTGTCCGAGCATACTTTTGCACAAATTATTATATGCAGGGAGTATGACTTAAACCATGGTATTTACACAATCCATGGGCCTCAGGCTTTCTCTAAAAAAAGGTTGATTTAATTAAATAAATGTCCTGCCACTGTTAGCTTTCGGCCCTCTTAACACTGTTTGCAAAAATATATGTTCAGATAAAAGATTTAGCTTAATAGAAGATACAATCTTGTCAAATAACAGCTAAACTTTGTTTAAATAACCTGCCCACATTGTCTTAGAGTTCATTTCTGTGTTTAAATTGTCCATCCAGGGAAACTCCAACTGTGTAGGAGTAAGGAAGTCAACTTTACTTGAAAAGGTGAGATTAAAACAAGATCTGAAAAGAGTAAGTGCTGTTTATAGATTCATATTGTTGCCAAGTGTTTTATTATCAAATCAGAAGTTATTAAAACAAATTTATTTTTTTTCCCCACAGCTGTTGGCACCAGATATTCGACATGAAAGAAATGTAATTCTACAATGTTTGCGATACATTGTAAAAAAACATTTTTTTGGAGTAGGAGATACAAGTGTTTCAGAGGATGTTGTCAATAAATGAAATTGTGATGAGTGTAAAAATAAATTATAATTGAAAACATACTGGTACATGTACATACTTTTATGGACTGTGTTTTTTTGTAAGATTGAAGAAACATCATTGATAATTAACTTAATCAGGTGATATGGCATAAACTTAACATCCTAGGTAAAAACAACAACAGCTGTTGGCACCAGATGTTTGACATGAAAGAAACGTAATCCTACAGTGTTTGCAATACATTGTGAAAGAACATTTTTTTTTTTAAGGAAGGAGATACAAGTGTTTCAGAGGATGTAGTCAATAAATGAAATTGTGATGTAAAAATAAATTATAATTGAAAACACACTGGTACATGTACATACTTTTATGGACTGTTTTTTGTAAGATTGAAGAAACATCATTGATAATTAACTTAATCAATTGGTATGGCATTAACTTAACATGCTAGGTAAAAAAATTATTACAACTTAAAAAGCAACTTCAGTTAAAAATATTTTTATGCACTGGTTACTGCTTAGTAGGAAAAAAATTCCAACACTTTGTATGGTGACCACACCTGTACACTGCTAATTTCCTCATTAAAGGAAGGAGTTCATGTGATAGATTGCTTGATCCTCTTCCAAATCAGTCTTGTATCCATATAGCACATGTGGAGAAATTGATGTTCCTTAACAGCACTTCATTTAAACTTAAAATGATACTGAGCAGTGCTCTTCGCTATTACTGCAACAGCTTGGGTGCTTAAGAAAATCACACAGTAACTGTACTTAACTCAAAAATTGTTGGCCTTCTACTTAAGGAGAGATCTGAGGAAACATGGTGTTTTTCGTAAGGCCTGAACCAAACTAATTCCTTTTGCTTTTTGATATTTCTTTAGTTATATGACACTTGCGCATAGAATCCTTGGGAGAGCCACATCAAATAGTACTACATGTACATTTGCACTTGTAGCCTATTATTGTTGTCCTTTAGAATCACTAGTATTTTTCACGAGCTGAGAAGCTAAAGAAAGAACACATTTTCGTTTCAATGTCAAAGAACTCTGCATACAAAGCATGTGTCACCGCTTTGAGTAAGCAACCGGAGGACCGCTTATAACTCCTGAGCTCTGCTGCCCTTGTTTACCAAAACCCCCTCTGCCAGGGTCAAAATCAGTTCTATACTCATCTCGCACCTGAAAATGAAGGAGAGAGAAATGTTTTTTTGGCTGCTTAACCACAATAATGTTGCACATCCCTCTTCATTGACATATTTGTAGACTATGATTGGCTGATGGTGACCAAAACTCGGTTGAGTGATGTGCAGGCAAATTCTCCCTGACTATCAAATATCAAAAAAGCTTCCCACTCTTTTTTACCCTATTATCTGCTGAGTAATTCCTTCTAGTTTGTTTTGAGGTTCACAGTAACAAGGAGACCCGTAATTCAGTCAAGCAAACGTTGTTAGTGCTGTATTTAAAGGCTTACACTCACCTACCAAAACAAAAACTGTGAAACATTTTATTTTCATAATTTATACTTTATAAGCTTTACAGTGATGTGCAGTTTTCTATGGTTTCTTTAAAAGTAGCACATATTGGATGATTTTTTCCAGAAGGTACCTTATTTTGTTGACAGTAACCTCAAGGAAGTCATTTTTGAGGCCTTAAGTTATCCCATATTTTGTTGTGCTGGCAACTATTTTTATTGTTGATGAAGGGTATTCTGCAAAATCTGGAAACATCAAACCTGCAAAATTTCCAAGGTATATCATATGGTGCTACGTGTATGAACCATTAAGTGTCCTACCTGACCCCCACTTTTCCCACGACCATATTGACGTCCTTCTATGAAACCTGCATCCCAGTCTGTTCGTATAATACGATCATCTAGTCTTGTTCCATTGATGTACCACATGGCATTTTGTGCATCCTCCCGTGTGTAATATCTTGTGGAAAGCTAAGGAAGTGAAATCATCATGACCAAAACAAGACAATTGTTGCACAACTAAATCTTACATCTTGATGACCTCTTCTGTACAGCCACGTAAACCCTTTAACTCCTAAGAGTGACTAATATCTAATTTCTCTTTACAGAATTACGGCTTTAAGCCAAACATTAAAGTGATAAGAAGAAAAGCAATGACCACCAACTAAAGAACCTCTTGATTAACGAACAAATTCTCCTGATCAGTACCACTGTAAATATATGGAGAACAGTATAGAGAATATGTATACAGATGCTGGGTTGTAAAGGGTTAATTTCCAGAATACCAGTTTGTGACCGAAATCACTCTGGTTTATGGCAATTACAAATAAAAAAACGCCGAAGGTTTGAAACAAAACTGTTAACTAGAGAATGGCGACAAGTTTATGGCGACGACATCAATTTCTTTCATAACTTTTTATTTAATGGTAAATCAATTTGCAACCACATTTCGCTATCACGTTTTCAAGCGCATGAAAGAAAAGATTGTCATTCAAAGCTTTATTAATGTAAAAGGATACTCTATGAAGCAAAATCCGCAAGGGGTCTTTTTCACTTTGTCCAATCCCATTATAATCCTTTTTAAGTCTCCTGCGCGAGCGAATAACTCATAAATCTGTTCTTCCGTAGTGTAAAAAGACAGATTCCCGACATACAATGTCGAACTGGTTTCTAGCAGATTTTCCAGCTCTCCGCGAGTGCCCTATGACAACAACGAGACAGAGAAGAAATTTTAATTTATTGGAAAGCGTAACATCTGAATCATGGTGAGAAAAGAAACCTCTGGAATGAATACCTACCCTAAAATGTTGATCCCGATATGCACTAAGCTCCGCCATTTTGTTTCAAGGAGAACAATTCGTATTCGGCTATTCATTTATGGTTATTGTTGTGTCCCTATTCGTCCGCTGGCCAATCTGATTGAGAACGCCTCCTCGCTTTTAAGAATGGGGGAGGGGTGGGAGATTCTGGCTGCCGATAGATGTTTTTTTATTTTCATGTTGTTTTTCCTTTTTCCAAGAATAAAAGTCTACTCAAAAGTAATCCAATATGTGTTAAATTCTCAGGGTTGAGAATTTTAGGTTGAGTTATTTACCCTAGTTGTATATAGTTATATAGTTATCTATCCGCATAAATCATTGTTCGGATAGAATTCATTGCAATTCCTGAACTCTACATAATATTTCGCGTCCATGGTAAACACTTTGGACTGATTACATCGAACAGTTCCCGATGAATGCTCGCAAAAGCATCTGGTCGCTGGTGGCAAACTATTATCATTTGTTTTTCATTTCTCTTCATAAATTATGCAGAACCTGACCAAAGTTTAATTTTGATTTCATTTGAGCAATTATTTAATTCGTTAAGTTGAGTGATCTTATGAAACAAAATAAAAATGGACGATTTCTCGAAAGTTACAAGAAGAATTGTTTCTCTTCTCAGGGAAAAACCACTTTATTTGGCGGGAATGGTGCAACCAATCACATGTTTTAGATAACGTCATTAAAACTACCAGACATGCGTAGTTGCGAATTTTAAAACCCCAACAAAATTCTAAGTTTTCAGCTGGAATTTTATGTCTTAGTGGAAATTTATGGGAAACGTTTGTGTCCGTTGAATTTGACGCAGGATGTGTTCAAGTTGGATTGTAAACAGTTTCTGTGTTATAGTTGGACTTGTGATATCGTTAAAACTCTGTTCGTCCGTTGCCTATGTTGACGATGACGATTGCTTATCGCGGGGACGAAACTGCACCTGGTGTCTGAACGATGGAAACTGCGGATTTTGCGACAAATGCGGTGATCATTGCCACAAACCTGGGGCGATCCATTCTTTAGAGAACTGTACAAACTGTGCTTCGTGTATTCCTGGCAATCTTGCGGGTTCAAAGAAAGGTTACGATTGCAGAGCAGAATGGTAAGCTTATTAATTCACGATGGAAAGCTATTAATTCACGATCACATCACAGTAAACACTTTCTCGCTTCGACAACCACGCTAGTCTTGTGTTCCACAGCGGACATGACAATTTATGTCAGCCTCATACTCAAATTTTTGCAATTAGCCATGTTTGGAGTTCTTTAGAACATTGTTATCAGGAAATGAAAGTAATGATGCTATCATCCTGTATGGCCGTCTGTTAGTACAATAATGGCGTTATTTCACCTCACACGACTTCGATAAATAAATTGGTGTACACGATGTAAAAATTTTTCCTGTAAGGTTCTCGATTTTAACACTGTTTACTTTTCAGGCAGTTATAAAGTTCAGTGAACTGAATGACCGGTTTTAAGTTAAAATCCTCTTCAACTCACGTGGTTACTTTTAGTTCATTTGAGCCTGATCTTTTTAGTGCTATTCATCAATTTTTTCGCGTCATTTTCTCCATAAAATATTGCTGATTTCTTCTATTACCCTTTTTCAATTTTTTTTGTTGTATGAAGCACTTGCACGCAATAAAATGTTACTTGGAATATGATATCTTCTTTACATGGAATTAAAGGTTATTGAAGAAGCTTTGCCGTTTGGAATGGACAAAAATGAAAGCTGAGCTGCAGGTTTTACTGAAAAGGTTTTACTGAATTTCTTTGAAATTGGTTTGAAATATTTGCATGGCGTTATGAAACACTTGGCATACCTCAGAATGAAATTTTTTGAAATGCACCCTCGGACAAAATTTAGATTTTGTCCTACGAAGATCCCAAAGGGAAACCGCATCTAAATTTCACAAAACGTACCCTTTCTTGTCACATGATCTTTGCTTAAGTTTTGAATTAAATCAAATGTTTTAAGGTTTTTTGTTGTGTAAGATGTTAAGTGTATCTACTATAAAATCTGTTTACATATCTTTACATTATCTCGTCAGGTATTATTATGAGAAATGCCCAGAGGTTGTTAGTGAGCAGAAGACTGTGTATGTTGAGATTGCTCTTTATCTTATAAATCTCCATTCTGTGGATTTAAAGGCTGGAACCTTTCATGCTGATTTCTATCTGTACTTCAAAGGTGTGGACTACATTCAGATTTTTTTGTTTCAATGACATCCTCTCAGGTGCATTAAAAGATTCCCACACACAAGAGTTAGCTCAAACTCTAGGTGAAATCTGTATGCCTGTTATGTCACTGACAGATGATGCTATCAAGAAACAAATAGCTGTTTAATTATTGTACCTTCTCATGCTATATCAGGAGTTTAAAATCACAAAATATGATTATAGTGATATGCAGATGATAATCAAAACAGAAACAACAATATATAAATTAGTACTTATAATGATAAAGATTTTTTAATCAAGGAAGAGAGAATGTTAACAAAAACAGTAAGAATGATTATTATGATGGCAATGATAGTATATAATTTTCTGATCCTCAGGCCAGTACCTGTTTGCTCTGGCTCCTGCCTCTGCCCCTAGTTGACACTTCAACCCTTTGATCCTAAAGGGTGACTAGCATCTAATTTCTCCTAAAAAAATTACCCCTGAATCACGCATGAAGTTGGTGAGAATAAGGGAAATGATCTCCGGCTAAATAAGCTCTTGACTGTTGAACAAATTCTCCTTGTTAGCACCACAGGAAAAGTATAGAGGACAGTGTGGAGAAAATGCATACCGATGTTTGGGTATATAAAGGGTTTAAGTATGAGCAAAAATGAGATTTTTAACTAAGTTACTAAATAGAAGGGGAATAGAAGGCTGGCCATTCATTAGGTAACACTGGACTTTCTGAACATTAGAATATTGCTATAAATAAGAAATATGTATGAAATAAGTCAGGAACATTTTCTTTTGTATATAATACAGTACCTGAAGGACAGACAATGTATACAAAACAGAAATGTAAAGATGGTCTTAGAGGAGCTTGCTTTGAGCTTGTAAATGCTGCTGGCCAAGCAGAGGTCAGTAGAACCATCAGTATCTGTTTATAACTAATCCCTTAGAGAGAGAGATATTCCATGATGTTACCTCTAAACTTATTTAGATCAATTATGACATTTATGACACCACAGGTAACTGCAAAATTTCAAACTAGTTTTGCTCACTTTTCCTCAGGAAAAAATTGATACCTCTTAACATTTGAGTCTGAGGTCCAAGCTGCAAGTTACAAAGTTTAACTTTGTTTTCTTCTTCTTAGATTTATGGCCCAGCTAAGTGTGAAGTAGGTGGGTCATAAATCTAAGTGAAATACAAAGGAGATGGGTAAAATGAGGTGAATGGGAAAATGGGAGGATGTGTAAAACAAGGTGTTAAAAAAAACAAAAACAAAAAACGTTCCAACATACACATGAAATCTTTGCAGGTCTCCAGCCATGAAGGAAAGTATTTCAGGGTGAAATCAGCTTTTAACTTTGCAGCAGATCTTCAGGACTATCCGTAAGTGTGGTGAATTTACTAATTGACAATTTGTGCTTACAACAATTGTTCCAATACTTTGTAATGAAAGATCTTGAATTTGCTTTGTTTTTTCTTGTACAGCTATGACAATCAAACACTGAAAATTGTAATACAAGATATGGAAATGACTGCAAAGGAGCTTAGATGGAAAGTTATGCAGGTACAGAATTTCAAAAATCTTAAGTGCACTATTAATCTTTTAGCCCCTATATTACCCCTGAATCAAGCATGAAATTCATGAAAGTAGATGAGATGATCACCAACTAAAGCAGCTCTTGATTGTGAAACAAATTCTCCCTGTCAGCCTCTTTGGAAATGTATGGGGAACAGTATGGAGAATATGCATATTGATGTTAGGGTGTAAAGGGTTTACTAATTTTCAATATGATAGGCATGTAGCTACCTATTTTTGATTAGTTTTCCAATCTCCATTTCATCCAACTTGTTCAAGTGAATGCAATACTTTGACCTGTAGACAGCAGGCCAAATTATCACTTACAGCACTTTATTTGATTACGATCAGATTCCTCTATGAAGATGAAGAACCCTTTCAATTCCCAAAGTGACTTCCTAGTTCATTTGGTGGTGACTCACCCAACTAAATAATGGGAGGGTTCCAACCCTCTGAAGCCAGGGTTTTTCAGGGTATTTTTGGTCGGCAATGTGTTTCAATAAAAGCATTCATAGCGCCATACTTGTCACATGGGGTGAAAACGCTCTGTCATTATGCTCTTGGTTGATTTCTCTTTAAATTTCATTGGTTATCAAAAATCAACTTAAGCTTGCTTCCTTTTTAAAATGCATTTGTAGGGATCAGATGACAGTGATTTCAAATTCCGGGGTGGAGTTTCACCAACACTAAACTATACTGGCTGGTTATTTGATACCAACTCTTGGTCACAGATGGTTTATGAAAGGTATGTTACCAGTGTATCAGTGTCATCATAAATAATTTGGGATTTTGCAGTGGTTTTGCTTCTCCAATCTATTTGATTGGTCCCAAAAACATGCGCCAACTTCTCAACCAACCAGATGCTAAATTGTAATAAAACTGGGACTTAGTTCTAATCTATGACTGGTTTTATATCTTATTTGTTGCAAGGGTGACACCAGATTTCTGATCCAATCACAATGCATAATAAACCCAAAACAATACCCTAGATTAGTGAACTTTTTGAAGAGCCAATAAGAACTCAAAGTAAAAACAAGACAACCACATAAAGTGCAAGAAAAAGCTGGCAACCAGGTTGTGATTGGTGTTAGTTTTTAGAGTGTGTGGTGCAAGTTTTCTGGACCAATCACTGAGCAAAGTAGAGGAAAACCAATGCATTCCTGCATTACTTTCAACACTTAACCCTTTAACTCCAAGATCAAATTTGTAATTCTCCCTACTCTCAACCATACAATTCTTATAACGTTAGTTCTAAGAATTTGGTATTGGATCAACTAATTATCCCCAAATTGATCTTTTCCTTTATTCTCATCACTTATCTGGTTGATATTGTATAGATATTGTAAGGAGAAATTCTGTCTTGGTCACTTATGGGAGTTAGGGTTAATTGAAAATTGCCCTACTCTCAATACCCAACTAAAAGTAACTCTCTTAGATATATTATTGATACTGGTGATTGAGATGGGATTTGTTTTAAAACATTTTATTTTTCAGGTACAACCCGTTTTTGGACCAAGGAGTGTCTCGCTATGAATTTTTATTTCACATGAGGAGACACAAGCGTGCAGCGTTTTTCAAGATATTTTTACCTCCTCTTTTTATAGTGCTTGTAGTAAGTATCTGAATACCGAGAAAAGTTACTTGAAAATGTAAATAAAAGTGTAGTGGAATTATGTAATTGTCACATCCATCTCGTCGCACGATATATTATTACACTGGTGCAATACGTGGAGAGAAAGCGAAGGAAAAGCTGAAGTGTTTACAAGTTCTCGCTGCCTTTTCCAACCCATTTCAATTTGCATCCTGTGAGCTGAGCTATATGCGTAACCCGTCATGTAGAGTTAAATGCATTTTAGTACGTTCTTTTGGTGCGACAACCTCACGTACAACATTTTTATCATACTTTTGCCTTACCAGAGTCGAACGTGCATTGCAGGTGGACAGAGTCTGAGATATGATGCTGTCAATTAGCTCCCGTCAATTCTCAGCGACCAAGTAGAATGCACTTATAGTTAAAATACTGTCACCACTGGTCTCTCTCTTGACTTGGCAAAGTTATTTCCGATTGCGAGGCGAGAGCTACTGTTTTAGAATTGTTAAGGCGTTAGTTAAAACTACCCCTGAGTGAACGTGACATATAAAATGTACTTTTTTCCTCTCCTCCTCAGGTCTGTTTTTCATTTTCTATTCCACCAAATGACGCCTCAATGCGATTGTGGATCGATGGGTAAGTGTATTAAATGCATGTGTTTCTGAGACTAATTACATGTCGATCTAGTTTTTTAGTGAGCAAGCCTTAAAGAAGAACTACTGCCTTACGTAGGGGATTTTTGATGAAAAGAAAAAAAGACCACGGTCTATTCTGCTGACGAAATTCAGCAAGTAATAAACGTTTATCTTCTGAAAAAAAAAATTTAATTCGATCTGGAAGAGAAGTTTGCTATCTATATTTGTTTTTTTTCTCGAACAACCACAGTTCCTTTTCGAGAGAAGATTCTGCGGTGTGCGCTAGACCAAACAAGTAAAAATATCACTATTTAAAAGTGTTTGCGCTAAATTTTCTTAGTTTAGCGGCTGTCTTGAGAACAACTTTTTATCTAAAATTTGTGTTTCTTTATTTCTTTCTTTTCCTTCTTTATTCACAGTTCACTTTTGGTGTCTGCTGTTATGTTTCATGCCACTGTCAGTGAACAAACACCTGATACACCGGTAACTTGGCATTTGGAAATACTAAGAATTCTACTACAGAAATAATTTCGTCCCTTGTTCTGGTGCGTTCTTCTATGAATTACCCATATGTAATTTTTGTTTTGTTTCATTGGCAGGAGTTAACTTTGGCTGATCGCTTTATGGTCGGAGTCTATGGCTTTATTTTCGCTTCATTCATTGTTACAATAGTAATGTTAAGACTTCAACGAGAAAACTACTACTACTATGCTGATACATTCTATAGCTACACAGAATGGCTGGTAAGAATTACTGTCGTTTACCTGATTGGAGGGATGAAATTTTTTCTATATTCTATATTTATTAGGTGGTCTAATAGCAATGGAGAAAGCCGATATCTTATCACGTTGGTTTTTGTCACGATGTTCCATAGCAAGTCTTATAGCCTAACTTTGACCTAAGCCTAGAGTCGACTTCGAATTTGACCTGGGTCAAGATCGGATGTGACTCGCCCTCGGAGTTGATCCGGAATTTGCTTTTGACTCCGATGCAAGTTAACTCAGATTTTACTCGAGTTCTGGTAAAAGTCTCCCTTGGAGTATGTAAAGATGTTTTTCGTCTTGTCACGAGCGTAAGAAAAAGAAAAGAAATAGGAGTCTTCTTGAGGAATCGAACCTTCCGATGCTCCTTCTCTCTCTTGGAGTTAACCTTGGTTTGGATTCGACGTGAACTCGGGTTTGACTCGGGTTTGACTTGGGCCCGGATGTAACTCCAATACGGGTTTTACGCAAAGTCGAGTGTGATATGGATTCTACATCGGATTTAACTGGTATAATCGGACTTCACAAATGGAATTGGCTTTATTCGTTCGGCGTAAAGAACAAAGGAAGAGTACCAAGCTATTTGACACAATTCCCGACTAATCTGAATCTGCTTTTGTTGATATTTATGTGCTGATTGTTCTTTATTGCAGGTGTGGTTTACAGCGCCGACGTTCTTCTTCTTTCTCTATTACGTGAATTCATCGCTTGAAAATGTACTACTTTATGAAGTCCTTGTCGCTGTTTTGTCTCTGATACTCAACAGATTTGTCTCGTGTCTCAAGTAAGAGTCTCGTCAGTACTTTTGGAGTGGGGTTAAACAGGGGTGGGTCAGAAATATTATATTGAGCAAGGGGAGGGTTCAGAATTCCTTCTTGATCAACTCCTCCACCCCAGTAAATCGCATTTGTACGCACATGCACAAATAAAATCACCCAGTTGGTTAGTAATATGCGATCTTGTCGTTGCTATCTTTGCGGTCATACAAGTAGCAAAAACCCTTTGTTTGTGATTAACATGGCTCCAATGATACGTGAATATGTTTTTGCTTTTGTAGATCCCGTTTGTTCAGGTTACTGAAGTTTGACACATCATCAGGAACGAATTGCCAATCTCCGCTGGAAGAGAGTGTTAACCAGCGAGGCGGTGGATATTTCAGACTAACACAAGACGAGGTAAGAGAGAAACGTTGATGAAGATATATTCCAAACATCAAGCTGAGTAAAATATGAAAAAAATTTGCCGCACGCAGTTATCGCAGATCTAATCAAGGCCTGTTCATTTTTCCTTGTCATTCTACAGGAGTCAGAGCTGCAATCACATGCAGCAGTGTGCAAGCCTTGCTTTCCTGGTAACCGTGACAACACATGTGAGGAGCCCTGCCCAAAACAGCAACCCACACCCAATAAGAAAGCTTGATAAAGAGTTCCAAACATGAAAGGATTCAGCACAAATATCGTCCTTGGAGCCGTGACCAATTTGTTTTATTTTGTTGTTAGTTTTATCGGCAAATCAGATTCTTAATCTCGCAGCCAGACCTACCCTCTGGGAACGAAGGATTATCTTTTACTATATCAAGATCATAATATTCCCGCGGTGAACTTTAGTCCACTGGATTGACTGAATTGTGCTGGTGAGAAGTCACACCGCCCCTTGGATTTGAAGGATTTGAGGACATATTTTATTCTCACAAAGCACGAGAACCTACGTAGATTTACCAGATCTAGCCTGAGCTTAGATTATCTTTTTCTTCCTGTTACACAATGGTCTTACAATTTTATGAATAGTTGAACCTTACCTACCCTCTGCTCCCATGTATTAGCCAATACCTGATGTCATTGCACAAGATCGGACAGGAAAATTTGAGTGGCATGAGATTTCAAATAACTCAAGAAAAATAAGTGTTTATAAGCTTCATTCATTCAATTAAGAATTTGCACTTGTGATATTTTGTTTTAATCAGATAAAAAACGTAAGTTTACACTTTTCCACTTTTCTCCAATCTCAGTCTCTTACTTAACTCAAGCAGACAACACGTAATATATACAAGTCACTATGTTAATATAGACGCGCAAGATAAGAAGTTACTTTTCATTAAAAAAAAAAAAAAAAGAATAAGAGAAACCTTTTACAACTTAAGCTACTTCTATCATGGACTCCTCTTGATTTGGTACAACACTAGTTTTGGAATCTTTGGGCAACTCGGGAGAACTGGATGGAAAACTTACAGGAAAACTTCCCTGGAAAAATTGATCAAAGTGAGCAACTACGTACCTATCCCCCCACCCCCTCCCCCCCCAACCCCACACTAACCCTAACTTGTTATTAGTTGACTGCTGTTGGGATAGGGAAGGGATTGGTAAGGTGCGAGTTGCTCAGATGCTGATATTGATCTAGAAAAAGAAAAATAAAGCAAACGAAGTTCTGAATCGTGATGTGACTTGCTTCGTACGGCTTTCCTTTTCTTTTTTTTTTTCTTTTCTTACGATTCTTAAGAATTAGTTTCAATTAATGCGACAAACTCAGCTGTTCAAAATTACATTTTACATTGTCTCTTTTTGATTCCTGTCTCTGGAAGATTACCAAGGAGCCTCAACCGCCTGTTCCCGACCCAGATTTCCTGGTTCACGTGCTAACGTGACGACAATAATCCAAGCAAGTTTTCAAAGAAACGTTGCGTGACCAACCAAAGAAGTATCCGTAACCATCTTGGCATTAGCCACCTCGAAAAAAACAGACATTCAAAGAGCTAACCTGTGTAGCTGGCAGCTTTCGGGGCGTTCGTTGGAATAGAGACGTCGAGGCGCGAAAGTAATCAGCGGACGTTAGGTTCGGGCTTTACCATTATTTGCTGTCCTACACCTCTCACGGCCTGGCCGCATCTTTTCACGGCGCCTCCACTTGATTGAATTTCCGCCGTTTACTCGAGTGCGGTCTTCGATCTTTTCGAGATGGTTTGGGAGGGGCGCGGGCTCGTTTCACGGCTTGTAATAAAGCCTTCCCATTGAAGCTTCAAAGCGCATACTGAACTGCCAAGTAAGAAAGCTTGGATGGATGTTGAAAGAGAAGTAAAATAAGAAGATCCACGAGTTAAATAATGAGAATAAGTCTCTTTTTCATATGTATATCCGAAGAGATTTCATGACAGTTGGCCCGGCATGAAACCATCGCTTGAGAATTGTACAATGTATTAAAATATCCTCAGTCTTAAGATGTCCTGGCCTTCTATCAAGTTATTGGCTCTTCTTCTTGGGATTTCGCTTACTCATCTGTTTTTGAATTATATCCATTACACGCGGCCTGTGATCCAAAACCTGAGGAAAACGAGGACGAACTCATTAGTCCCTAAGATGTAATCCACAATTCTCCCATCTACCTTCTGAAAATTTCCTTGTAAATACGTTACGAGAACCTAGTGTTCTATCAAGATAACACCCCCTCGCTGATAAGCTTGTGTATTCTCAACACCCGCCTGCCGTATGATGTATTGATATTGTAGGGAGAAGTTAAAAGTTAATAACTTTTCAGATCCTGATTAAGTTGATTCCTTAGCACTGTACGGCTCATCCCAGCGGCTTCTTCTTTAAAACCGGAGATAAAAAAAACCTTTTTTTTTTTCTTTTCGAGTGAGTGACAATAGTGATCTATTATTTTGCTTGCTTTGCCTGAAATTAGTAACTTATCATCTGTAATGTAACACAATTCCCAGTGTATAATGACTATGAGACAATTATCGGTATAGTGAATCAAGCAAATACTCGCGATTGTAATATCATTATGAAAAATATTATCATCATACACTGCTTTTAACAATTTTCAAAACGATTATCATCATTCAAAGAATTGTCTACAGGGTGTTTCTCCCCTCAAACGAGCCCAAGGAAGGCCCGTTTTAATCCAAAAATTAATCTTCCGGGAGATTTGCAAGCGATGAATAAACTTGGACGAAAATATAATTGACTGCGATGATTCCTCATATAATGTAGTGATCTCTTGCTCACTAAAAGATCTCTAGGTACCGAGACTTAATAACTCCCACCTTGATCATAGATTTTCGCGAATCTCCAAGCTGTTCAACAACCAGCTGCGATCTTTGAATGTTACCCTGACAGAAAAAAGAAAAAGAAAAAAAAGGAAGAGAAAAGACCATTTAAGATGCAGTTTATCTGTGCGTTAGGTAGCTTGTTTGCAAAGCTGAAATATTGGGGAAGCAGGAAGGCTTTTCTGTAACCTACTAGACAAAAACCTGATGCGATATAGTTTGGTGGGAGTTTGTTTCTTTGCGTTTTTATCGCTTTGATCGAGTTCAGCTAAATTTAAAATACGAGACATATGTCAATGTCTGTTTTGTAGGAGCTTTAATGTCAGCGGAATGTTGTCTCACCTGAAGTAACTCATTTAACATCACTAAATCGTCCTGGAATTTGGTTTTCTGACCCGGTTTCACCTTAGGAATCTTTTCTCTGATCTCTCCCATCTTTTTCAACACTTCCTGTTCAGCAGCGATCTGAAAAAAAGACGCAACTTATTTCAGGGCCGAATGAAAAGTTTGACAGGTCACTGAGGACAACTCCTCGCCCCAAAGACTCAGGGAACAAGAAACCCTGTGGATAAATTAATGTGTGAGATTCGCTCCAGTTTCTTCCTCACCAGCTCGTCCATTTGTCCAGCGATGTGCTGGACCCGCCAGCCGTTTGCTCTCTGTATAATCCCCTTCTGACTGGCAATTTCTTGTATGGAGGGTTTTCTTTCTTCTGAGAAACAAAAGACAGACGATGATAAACAGACCCAGACTAATGTTACCTTTAGCCTAAGTTTCTTCCGCTATCCCTATTCCTTTGTCAAACAATTTTCGATGGAGTGTCGAAAGTAATCTGAGATTACAATGGTTTTGCTTCAGCACATTTTGCGATTGGTCCAGAAAACTCGTGCCACATTCTCAACCAATCAGATAACGAGAAAAATCCAACCACCACCTGGTCGCTCGCGTTTTCCCGCCTTCTGAGCAGTTGGCTTGTTTGAAATCTAAACTATGATTCGCTCCTCGTGATTCTTGTGTCTGGTTCTAATTGGCCATTGTGATTACTTCGGTTTTGGTTTAACAACAATCAATAGAAAACCCGCTCTGGTTTATTCTTACAGGTTGCGTAACACCACAAAGAACGGCTGCGAAGAAGACTCGCAGAAGTCGTGAGGTAATTTACACTGACCTTTTGCCTTGACATCAGAATACCGCTGGAAATGGTTATGAGCTGCTTTTGTGTTGATCTTGTAATTCGCAACGATGGAGATTTTTGGCCTCTTTAGTAGTATGAACTTCAAATCTTCATCTGCTGTTGAGAATGAGAGAAGCAAAGAAATATGCAAAACTAAATATATTGACACAAGGGGGGAGTAATTCCCTAATCCATACCCTTCCTTCCTTCTTTTGTGTATCGAACACTTCCCCCCCCCCCCTTTGGTAGTAGGGGTTTAATTGTGTTCCACAAAACTTAGCTCTGTTTTGAAGATTTGAATATGTCCCTGCCTTTCCTCACTGAAATACGCCGACACAGCAAACTAATGTGGAGATAGTTCTTACCTTCATCCTGTTTTGGTTTCTTGTCTTCATCTGTTGGCGAATCAGGTTCCATGTTAACGTTACTACCGAACTTGTCTTCCGTAGCGACACTGCAAATATGAGGTTTTCATAGTTTAAACACTCTTGGGTTGCAAAAAAGAAAACAAAAATGATAATAAAACAATTACAACAAAAAAGTAGGCTTTTTTAACACTTATCTGGCGGTTTAGCCGTTTGATAGCATTGTCTGCCCTTTGAACCAGTGAGCCCTGACCTTTGGTTATACGCATACTTACACATTTTGCTTTCGTGGTTTTTTCCTCGGTGAAGCCGCCTCGCTGCTCGTAGTTGTAGCATTTGCGAGTAAGGGCGTGGCAGGGGCGACAGGAGTGTTTCCGTTCAACACAGCAGTGGTAGCCACACTTGGGGTAGGTGCCGCCTCGCTGAACGGTTCTCTCTTGACTTTACTCGGTGACACGGGAGCGGTTTGATTGACAGCTGGCTGTTCTGTTGTTGTAACACTAGCTGTTGTTACGGCTGCAGTTTCGTTCGATTGACTTCCAGAATCACTGAGGCAACAAATTTCATATTATAATGAACTATACATTAAACTCTCTTTGTTAGCAAAAAAAAAAACTTAATAAATAAATAAATAAAACGTCTGCGGAGATCAACCGGAAAAGCACGATAATGTGAATGCAACAATCAACCTTCCTTGAAAAGAAAAAATGAGGTCTGTTTGTTAAGCAGCAGCGCTAAAAACCTACGAGACAGGTAACGGCAACTCAGTGTAACTGCAAAAAATTACTTTGTGATTACTTCCAGGATTAAAATATTAAAAAGCGTAATTTTCTTTCCAGCAGGCCTCATAAAATATTGCAGTGTTGTCAATGCATACCTTGCGGGTTTAGGCGAGTTCTGTGTGGAGTGTGGTGCAGACAGTGTACTGTCCGATCTTGGGCTGGCTGCGGCCTCCGTCTGATTTGATACCAGCATCTCAGCGGCAAACGGCAGTTGGCTTGGAGGTTTACGCACCCTGAAAAAAAAATTTTAGAGAGCAATTCTCAATCGATTATCGAAATTAACCTGAGATGGTATTATTTCCGCTTTTATTTGCTCTACCCTTGCTCTAGAAAAGTTTCGCCACCCTTAGAACCAAACAAAACCCGAAACCACTCGGGTCGCTCGCGATTTTTCTCGCTTCAAGCAGTTTTCTTGTTGTTCCTTTCTAATCAATCGTTATGATTTCCCTGCTATTTGTTCAACAAAAACCAGTCGGAATGCCCTTTATATTTAATCTCGGCAACCGAAAACTTGAGCGGAAGTCAAAGTAACCAATCACAATTGACAAATGCGACAAATCTGATCGCGCAGCCAATAACACCGCAGCAAAAGCGACCCTCAGTTTATCGAAAGATCTGTCTCCTCCCCTAACAACACTCCATTTCACAACTGATATCACATGGTAGATGACACCAAACGATCTATGGCAAAAAAAAAAAACATCAAAGTGATGGCTCCTCTTTTTTCACCTACCCTTCTGAAGTTCTCTTTCGTAGAATGCTTGGCCGCGGAGATGTCGCATTGGGATTTGGAGCTGTCAGCTGTGTGGCCTGGATTCCGGCTGACGGTGGGACATTGAAGATTGGAACACTGTATGTACCAGCAATTGCACCACTGATGTCCATAATACCAGCACTAGCCGGCGTGTCTGTCCCAGTTAAGTTCGCTATACTTGAAGCTGAATGATTATAAATAAGGATTTTTAATAAGAGAAATTTTCAAAACGCAACTTTGCTGATACTGCATCCAAATGAATGCTGGGATTGACCAACCTTGGTCCCTCAAGGAGGATGATGTTTCGCGCGGCCTCGATATTTTTTTGTTGTTGTGTGAGATGCAGCCTCGCAAATTATTTGAAAAAAGTATGTTTGCAAACCTTTTAACTTTCCACGATGGCCGACGAGATCATTGATCTGTGTGGGAATGTGAAAATTACTGTAGATATCCCAAAAGGTACAAAATGTGATCAAAAACCAATTTCCAATTTATGGGTTGGTGCAGAAGTCCGTAAAAAGTTTCCTTACACAGGCTGAACTGCAAGGTCAAAATACCACGAAACCAGGCCTGATGACAGTGCGATAGTAGTAGTACAGAGTAAACGAGGAAGGATTGGGTCGGGTCGCGTAAAGCCAAACCTTCCTCGCTATTTCACACTTCCGCTACTATCACGGTTGATCTTTCGCGTGATCATTGCAGGAACCGGGTTTTCCACCCACGCACGAGCACGCGTGGCCATGGCGTGGTGCGCAGGCACCGTCCTTAATAGGACTTGTCAGAGAGACGGCCGTTGGATGGCAGACTTCACCCTCTAGTCTAGCGTGTAAACCTTTCTAAAACTGCCAACATTTCAAACTGTCCCAAAATCTCACAATTACCTTCCGCAAGCTCTCTATTTCTGTATTTGTGCTTTTTTACCGCTGCCATCTTTAGGAGTGATACGGTGTGGAAAAGAAAGTGCGCCCACAGGCTACCCACCTAAGGTCTTCAAAAACATAGACTACTCACCTCCAACACCAAGTGCTGCAGATGGTTGGAAAATCAACCTTGAATGATCCATAATCTGCATAGGGTTCACTCCAGCAGCTGCAGCAGCAGCCGCAGCAGAAGTGACCACACCCTGTGATCTGGCAAGAGACGGCATTGGGCCAAAGGCTGGTTGGTGATACTGTGGATGAAGCCCTGGGTGCACTGCTATATGGTAAATTTTGTTGTTAGAATACTTTTGTTAATTAGTTCACAAATGTTTATGTTGTGGTTTAATTTCACCCATGGTTTTTATTCTCTTTTGTTCCAAACTCCATACCATAAACTAAAATACCACAACCAAACAGACAAGAGAATGAAATTTAAACAAACAAGCTATAACTGGTAAGGAGACATTCGAATTTGATCAGATGATTAAAGGAGCAAAGTGCATACTCACCAGATATAGCATCTTGATAAAATAGACCTGCCATACTAGCCATAGGGTGGTAAGGGAACTGGGGCAAGGCCTGATGTGCTCTGGAGTAAAAAAAAAAATAAATATATAAATTGTAATAATAACAATAATAATAATAATAATAATAATAATAATAATAATAATAAATGCTGTAATAATAAATAGTAAATGCTCTTTAACAAAACCATGTCAAAACTATCCTACATTTAGCTGAATCTTTTATCCAAACATTTATTTTTGTAAACAGTGTTGAGAGGGCCCAAAGCTAGCAGTGGAAGGACATTTATTTGATGAAAATAACCCTCTTGTATAGAATACATAAGACCCACTGCTTGGGTAAAACCGTGGTTTGTGTTACATCTTGTGTAAATAACTAGTGCTATGGATTTAGTTAACAAACCAGAGTGTTCTGGTGGTTGAAAATGATGATTAGAGGTGACAGCCTTATGGCAATATCTAAAAAAATAATGATTAACATTTATATGGTGCAAATTAAATAAGTGCATTATCAAATGCGCTTTACACAGACTTAAAATTTTTGTTAGTAAATACAGCTGATGAACATTTATATATAGTTAAAAATAACTAAATATTTACAATACCTAGCAATTCCCCTAAGAAGATAAAAACACTGCATTACTGGGTCAACAAAAAGAATCTTAAATCTCCAGTGTGACTGTCACACCACATATCATGCAAAAAGAGAAACATGTCCAATGTCTAATCTAAAATTTATTAGTCTTCAGGAGTTTTAATAACTTTATCCATAACAGCTGCAAAGTTGTAACAGAAAGCTGTGCCTGGAAAGGGGGCTGAAGTGAAACTCAACCATACAAGCCTGCTGTATGGCTATTCAGAGGTCTTACTGATGGTGGTAGGCTACAGGCAACCTGCTACTAATTAAAACCCTTCAGACTTGTGAAACAGTCTTGCCCAGGATTAGTTTTTCAAAGAATCAGCAAGGCAAATACAGCTGAAATTTAACCATCCCTGCTAAATTTACAAAAAGACCAAGTTCCTTACAGTACCTGTCCATTCGGCTTTCATTTCCAACAACTGAAAACAACCAAAAAACAACTATCATATAACTGTTTGTGAGTTTCATGAATGAGGAAAGTCTTGCACTCACGAATACACAGTCAAAATGATTTAAACCAAGATTTCAGCAGCATGAAAACCATATGAAAAAAAATAGCCAAAACAAGCTCAAGAAATGTGGTACCTGAGTTGAGAGAAGGCCCAGCCATGTGAGGAACAGTGGAAATAGTGCTGGTATGATGAGATGACACTGTTGCTGGAGATGCCGTCCCACTTGGTTTGCTCAACCTTGCATGATCTGCTGCTGGATTCTAAGGGTAAATGATTTTGAAAAAATTATTTACCAGTAGCACACCATGAATGCAGGTTGGTATGCACAAGAAATGTCTGAAGAAGTTTTGAGCTTTAAACTGGTGAGAGGACTGTACTGGGTTTCTGAACCTAGATGGCCTTCCTGCTGCCCTGAAAATTGGCAGGGAACCTTCAGTAATTCAGGAACAGTGCAGTGGAATCTCATGGAAACTGTAATGGCAGAAAAACCATTTTAAAGCTGTCACCGAAACAAGTCAAGGGATTTTGGTGGAAACATACATATACATAACGAGCCAACCCATATAAGCAGGTTGGGTAAAGAATAATAAAAGATTTGCTTGGAGAAAGCTGCAAATGATCTGGAATTATCAGCCTGAAAGACTTGACAAGACAAGCAGAACAGTAAATGTAGAATGCAATGTACACAAGGAAAGCCTAAGGCCTTCCCCTTAGTACTTTCCCAATGTTCAAGTACATGCAGATCACATATCACCCTCTCAATTAACCTCATCTAAATTACATTTAGGCATATTTCCTTTAGCTAGCTTAATCTGGTGAGGGCCTGAAATTACACAACATTTACAAGGTATTCATATACTAACTGGCTCCCCAAGAAACAAGGCATGTATGTATTAATGTTGCCATTCTTTCAACAACCTACTGCCTTGAGTGAAATGCTGTACATACCGTGGTGGATTCCAAGCTTGAGATAGGTGGCTGCCTTGGAGCCGTGAATGCAATGTGAGGTGGAGTATAGATTCTTGCTGTTGTTGTCAGCACAGCTGGTGTCACACTGACTGTGTTTGATGAGACTATTTTTGACGTTTGAGAATGACCAGACATGCCAACAGCAGCTGATGGCATGTGAGAAATGGTGCTACTGACAGATGTCCCTGTACCTGTAACTGGTCCACTACCATGTGCAGAAATGGGATGGTGTGATGACACTGTGGGAACAGACTGTTTTGGTACTTGATGACTCTGTGAGAGAGGTGCTGATGGTACAATAGAGATGACTTTGTTACTAGTAGAAGCTGGTGGATGGGCTGGTGCCACTGCCTGAACTGTGGGTGATGCACCTCTTCTTGCCAAATCAGTCATCAAACCTGGTCTTGCCTCTCGCATGTCACTTGACTTGTGGTCTGCTATGGGCTGATGCAAAGATGAAGAGACTGCGACAGTTGCAAGATGAGAAGAAGAAGATGGGCCAGGGGATGAAGGACAAGAGGTGCCTGTTGTTATGGGAGCCTGTGACTGTGACTGACCACTGTTATGAGTTTGACTGGTGTGTCCCATAGGTTTCACAGCAGCTGGCATTGTTGGGGTACGTAAAGAAGTATTCCTGGGTGTCACCCCAGCAAGTGCCCCTGCAGCAGCTCCTACGGGGACATGTGAGAAGGCTGGCTGAGGCATCCTCATCATTGAAGCAATCAAAGGATGGCCAGCATTAAATCCTTGCATGGTGCCAGCAACAAGACCAGGTGCAAGGTGACTAGGGATCATTCCAATAGAGCCTGAAGCTGGAGCTATTGGGCGATTCTGAAGAGGTTTTCCCATCTATTAGAAAAAAAATTTTAAAAATAAAGAAAGACAGTCTGCACATAAGTAATTATATCTTATTGGATGTTTTGTTGTTTAGTATTGCTTAGTATTTTTCCAAGTTGTGCTGTAATTTGACAAGCCCTATGGGCTTGTCAAAATACAAACAACAGGTAAAAATACTCAGTGATACTACACACCAAAACATCTAATAAATTATTTAATATCCAACTGCTTTTTTTTTTCTTTCTTTTTTTAGTCTTTCAGCTCATTTTTCATAAGGTGGGAAAAGCAAGGTGGATGGAGAAGTGTAGTACGCATAGCCAATTGATTTAACAGGTTTTTTTACAGTACAAAATAACTGGCTGTCCAAATAACTGTTCAATATTACTGGATATTTGCACTCTACTTTGTGCAGTTGGTTAATAAAAATAGATATCTATCATTTATCAAATCCAAGGGACAGAGAAAAATTCAAAGTCCTCTGTGAGGGTTTGAATGTCACTCAGTTCTGGAAACTCTGCCAATAACACAGACGTGCAGCAAAAGAGCTGTAAGCTACAAAAAAGTTTTCCACAAATCTGTTTGTCACAAAATTTTAGAGGTAGAATGGCCCTGTCTGAAGGCCTACTATAATAAATAGGAGAGGCTGATAACAATTGAAACTGTTACTTTAACAAAGGATTCATTAACTCCTTCCAGCAAACCTTGATACTTGCTTGATCAACATGCGCTCTATGATAAGTTCCACTCTCTGGGCCTGCCATTGGGACTTAATTCAAAAAAAGAATGTCCAGCGTTAGATTAATGCATAATGCAAAAAAAGTTCTGAAAAGGATATCATTTAAAGGAAATATTAACCTTACAGAGGGATGGGTGTCCCTGACACCTTAAAAATGGTGGTGCGTCATGCATAACCAGCAATTATCTTTAAGAGCATGTATTGCATAAAATAATATGTGAAAATGCAGTGTCCTTTTAGCTGAGTTGGCAGAATTCAGTTTAAAAAAATAGCATAAGTTCAAACCATAAAGAAAGGCTCTTAAGAAAGACCCCTTCCTCTCACAGTGGAGATAATTTTCTTATTTTCTTATCACTCTTCTGCTTGAAAATGAATTGTTACTGTAATGAGAAATAACTCATTGGTCATGATGGTGGGTAAAAGTATTAAACCTTTGACTCCCAAGGGGTGATAAAATGGTAAATGATATATCTAAAGACAGGGAATAGTGATTCATAAAATTAATATTAAGGAAGCATGCACTTTTGATGTAAACCACATTCTCAGGGAATAGACAGCAAATATTTGTATTATCATCAGTTAGTAGAATCAATTCTCATGTTTTGGGAGGAGAGGTTCAAAATCACCTAGAATATGTGATTGATTTGAACAACATTCATAAATTTAAAAAAACAGCCACCTTGGCAACATTTTAATGCTTCCAAAATAATTATTTAATTCTAAATATTTATGCAGTGACCAGTTAATAAACATTTAGATTGAAATATTAAGATTAAAAGGCAAGGAAATAAAACAGTTCGTCACGTTACAGGAACACGAATTTGATCAAGTGGACTGACAATTGCTTAACACTGTTCATTACAATTTCTAGAATATGGAGGAGATATATTCTAATCGGCATTCAAGTGATAAATGCAGACATATTTTACCTAAGGAGCCACATGTATGTGTCGGTTTGATTGTGGAAATTATTGAGCGATGCTTACTAACAAGTGTACCGTTAACTATTGCATGACTAATGCATCAAGGGTTACAGGAAATTGTTCTTAGATAAAACCATGAATACCACATAAACACACAGGCATGCTCAAAATCGAACGGGATGTTTAAATGCCGAAGAGGATCTTGAACAATCAGAGAATTCGACCATATCAAATCTTATTACAAATTTCACACATGGTTAAAAAGGTATTAAATGGAGTCTGTTCGATTTCATGATAACTACATATTCGCTGAAACGATTAAATTTGACAGCAATTCTCCAGCTATAAGACATTTAAAAAAAACCACACAACACAGGAAGGAGGAAAAAGCAGAATACCTCCTGGATTGGCGTTCAAAACTTTAGATTTGTCGTGTTTTTCTCCGTCTTGGGAAGGATTCCGAGACTGGCCGCCAACAACATCACGTTCATGTCGATCTTCATTTGGATAACTCATCGTTTAAACGCAAAAATTCTGTCACATCCAGGAAATTTCAAAGATAACGGTGGCCAGTTTCCGGTAAAATCGGAATTAAACGTATAGGAAACATTGAACAGTTTTGAAATTCGGGGGCAAAACGAGAAACCCAGTGATTTTTTCGCGAACGCTTCTCTGCGCATGCTGTAGCAGCAGTCAACAGAATTGTTTCGTCTCACAAAACATCGTGGGCTCTGATTTATGATGCCTTAGAAACGGCTGTGGTTATTTTTTCAAAATATCAGTATGCATATTTAAAATTCTTAGCTTTTAAATATCTCTTTTAAAACGTATTTATGATTCCGAAACTAAAGCTTTGAAAGACGATCATAAAACATACATTTTGGACCTAAAAGTGCACATACCGGAAGTAGGATTATGTAACGTAATCATTCGCGAAGTTAGTTTCTTTGGGAATATGCAAAGGTAAGAATACATGTGTAAATCACATGACCATATGAAGTCCCAAAGTTATAAAAATCCTGGAAAACAGAAATTTTCCGAACTCGTAAGTCGTGTAACAAAGGCTTCGGGAACTACGCGTAATATTTTCAAACATAATTTTTAAAATGTTATTTTTAGAACCTGTTTAAAAATACCACATATGAAGGGCACAAAAAAAAATTCCCTATTCAAAATAAAAAGACACGATCACACTCAAATTTTACGTTCCACGGCTAGTACAACAAAGCCCCCGAAACAGTCGGCAAGGACGGCACAGTAAAGGCTGTACTCAGTCCTCCCTTCGTGATGATAGCGTGCAAGTTTCATCTCGCTTACGTCAGAGTTTTACAATGCGCAAGTCACGAAGGAAGCCGTCTTCAAGATGGCGTCGAGCGTATACCTCGTTGCGGCCGTATTGTCGGTTTTCTCTCTCATGACCGTGAAAGAAATCATATTTCCCACCAATGTTCAAGCTTCAAATCCAGAAAAAATGGACAGATTACAAAAAGCGGCTGTATTTACAGGACCAACGATCAAATTTTTGTATTGGTAAGTGGTTCACTATAACAATCGAGTTCCTCGAATTCCGAGAAAATTGATTTACGTAACTAAGATTGATTCTACAGTTCACAGAAATATCACAATCTTCATCTTTGTGTGTAAATAACGATTAGTTTAAATGTTTTCCTATGTTTCTCTTTTGTTAAGATCTACCAAATGTCTATCAGCAAAAGCTTAGCAAAAACAGTATTGAAGTGTACGACGCTTATTAAGTATAAGAAGTCTCACTGAGTTTTAGTGAAGTATTAGCAAGGTCTAATATTAATTTCCTTAGGATCGAATTTTTTAAAAGGGTAGTCTTAGTAGAAGGAAGTTATTGTTTAATGTTAAAGTTCGAAGGAACTTTCTTTGCCATTAACGATAATATGGACATAATACTTGGTTGATGAACTTTTTAGGACATGCATGTAGCCTTGAACGCTTGACAAGATCTGACAAAGCAGGACGCGTGTTCGCGTGTATCGATTGTTCATGCCATGTGTTAAAAAATACTTTATTTGATATTAGGCGAAAATATTGATAGCAGAAAATAATTTCAAGTTCAGGTTCAAATTATGTTTTAGCTTACCTTAGTTATGTCAATTTGATTTCAATGTTGGATTTATTATTCAAACACAATTACTTCTATTTCAGGCGGTAACCAGTAAAATTTACCGCCTTTAGCACCCTATATCACTGCCTAAAATCAGCTGGAATTCCTGAAAATGTAACAGGTATAAAGATTACTCTACTGGCTTGAAAATTTCTTTTACCTGATGTGCTTAAAATAATGGAGAATACTAAAATGGTTAAAGTAGGAACTCCAATCTCCAGCTGCTGCACTCAACAATATGTTCATTATAGGTGGGAACATGCTTCATCTAAGCTAAATGCTATTTGTGTGAACAAAAGCAGAATAAATTTGACTCCTGTTGCCTGGATAAAACTTTGTGGCATTGTATTCTTAGTTTGCTCTTGTCTCATGCTTTCTAGTTATTCCTGAGGATACAGAAAGGTGTTTGAAGAGTATGCACAATTCATTCACCAAAACTTTCCCAAAGTTCGCATAGAAGGCGACAATTATCCCCCACCCCGTCCCCGTCAGATGTTGGCTAGTGTTCTCAGTCTTGCCAAATTAGCTGTCATGGCAATTGTTCTTCTTGGTGAGCGGTTACAGATATGGGAAAGTCTTAATGTTGACCCACCTCAAGCTTATATTTGGGCCACACAGAACAAGGTATTTAAGATGTTTTGTATTTAATCTGTTAGAAACCCTTTTGGAGGTTTACAAACCAATCTCTGTCAGCAACTAGTGTTCTTTACTGAGCAAACCACTGGTCTTCTTGGAACACTGCACAACATGCTTAGCCCAGTATTCTGGGGAATCACCAGCAACCAGCATTTTCATTGGTTTCTGCAACTTGTTTTTCATTCATTTGCTATTTACGTCAGAGTTCTACATTTAAAATGTCTTGATCTCAATTTAAACCATCTGTGGGCTAGTGTTTGTTGTGCCTATAAAAAAATTCTTCAGAAAATACTCTTGACTATTTGATTGATCTTTCACCACTGATCATGATTTTCAGGCTTCTTGGAGCCTTTTGTAGAAAGCAACTGTAAAATTTGATCACAGATACCACTGGTTACATTCCAGTTATCAAGAGTTTTTTTTTCTTTCAATACCACCATCATGCCCCTTGTGTGGACTTACAGCAGGGATGATCAATTAGGCTAATTTAAAGCTTAATCTGCAATCCTCTGCTCAGAAAACATACACTTACCTAAAATAACAAATTTTTTTAGCACAAAGTCTTCAACAAGGACTGTAGAAAGCTAAAAGTCATGAGGGTTCTTTTTGTTTTATTACACAGATGTATGCCTGTATTCTGATATTTTTTGTCACAAACATGATTGAAGGGCAGTTAATATCCACTGGAGCTTTTGAAGTGTCACTTAATGGTATGTTCATTTTGACAATTTTGCCTCAGAAAATTGCAGTTGTTATGTAATTTACCTCTAGATGTAAAGTTCATTCCCATTCTGATTTCAGATATTTAGTGTTATCAACTGAGTTGATAATGTAAATTGGCCATGGTAAATAGCTCAAAAGCTGACATTTTGAGCATCAGCCCTTCAACATTTACTCTGACAAAGGGCTAACACTAAATGTCAGTTTTGAAACTCTTTACAGTGGCTAATTTAAGTCATCGACTCAATTGATAAGTCTAAATTACCCTGTTATACTCTCCCACTAATACAGCACCACAGTTTCTTTAGAAACTTACCCCATTTATTCATTTGTTTTCAGATATGCCAATTTGGTCCAAACTTGAGTCTGGTCGCCTTCCAAACCCCAGTGAGCTTCATCAGATCATTGAAAATCAGCTCAAGTTTAGTCCTATACATTAAGTAAGTCTTTTTGTAATTACCAGAAGTACAAAGTTTTTCCCCTTTTTTTTAATATGCTTTACTTGCATTGCCATACTTGCAATATCTTTAGGATTCTAATTACAGCTAATGAACCTGTTCTAACAAACTTTTCTTTTTCCTTCTCTCTACATGTAGTGTAGTTGCTATTTATGTCTTTGACTTCATATTTTAAAAGAGATTTTACTGGTGAATTATAATTATACTCTAGCATACAATTAATTAAAACTTCATGAAAAGGGAGGTGAAAACTAAACTGTCTCACCATCCTGCTCCTGGTCATTGAGATGAAGTTACTGGAAAAAAACAAGTCATTTTCACCAAGATTGTAGCACACAGAGTTATCTTTTTCTCCTGTCCTTATTGTTTTGCCAAGGGTAAACTAATTCTTGTCTTGTGTTGAAAATGTATTGATGAAAAGAAAGGATGTCTGTAATTGGAGGCCAGGAGCCTCTACTGCATGTAGCACTAAGCTACAGAAATTTTACTTTCATCATGCAAAAGAACAGGGAATTACTCTGAAAACTGATATCTGTGGCTGCCATGCTGTTTGGGACAGGAAGGAACATAGGGGGAAGGTTCTCTCAAATTTGACACTCTTTGTAATTTTTTCTTTTCCACTTTTCTTTCCAGATCTTTGGCTTTCAAGATGAGGACTCCCTGATTATGACGTTTGGAGCAAAAAGTGGTTGTGCCACTGGCTCCAAACTGACCCCCTCTGGGAAAAATCATTCTTTTGGAAGTCAATGTTTGATGACCAGGAGTAAATATATATGCTGTATAGTATTTAATTCACACAACAATGGGAAAAAATTGTAATTTCTTTTTGAATTGATCCTTTGATAGACCATCAGAAAGCAATTGTGTAAATTAAGTAGCTAGTCTAATGTAGTACACTGTTCTTTTTCTTTAACAAAATTATTTACCTTTCTGTGCATACATATAACTTGTTTAATCAGGATTCACCATTTGAACTACTGGTAATCCGATTTGTCTGGCAGTAAGAAGTGCTATGCCACAATGCATTTAGGGTGGGAGGGATATGAATAACTCAAGTAAATATGTTTAGAAATAATAATAACAAATTTCAAACATGGTCCTGTCTGGTGTTCAATGTTTCAAACCAAATTTCCCAAAAAAAACATGCTGAGAAGAAGCTAAACAAGGTCCACAGGAGAGCCAATACACACCCTGCAAGATCCATAAAAGAACATTATCAGTGTTACAAAGTGGATTGATATAACTCTAATAATGTCCAGTATTATCAGGATGCAGTCATTGTTGATGTGGATCATGACATAAACCTTGAACACAAAAAATGTCAGTTTGCATATTCTCCCCCCAGTTCCCAATACATTTCTTGAGGTACCGACAAGGGGAATTTGTTTTAAAAAATCAAGAACTCCTTAAGTTAGTGATTATTTTCGTGACCTATTAATGTGAATTGGGGCTGATAAAGAAAGGAGAAATTAGATACTAATCACTCTCAGGGATCAAATGCTTAACAACAGAATACAAGACACTTGTCATCAGAGCTAGATGGGGCATCTAACCATGAAACTGGTCATGAGTTTGGATACTTAAATGGGACTCGTGTCAAACTTTCACCATAATCCTTTCACAGTTAAGCAGCCTGACACAAACCATATCAATTTAGCACTTCATTTATATTTGATCAATTGATTTTTGTACCTTTTCATTGATAATAATTGTATCTATCACTTCCTCTCAAGTCTATCCAGAAATTCTTGATTCTTCCTGTGAACGATAAAATAAAAAAAAAGGCTTAAGTATAAATCAAACAGAATGAATATATAATGTGTTTCTTACATTTTTATCATCGTAAACTAAATAATTACTTACCATCTGTGGTCATTCCTGTGTCGCTCCATGGCTTCCTGAGCTCTAACAGCCCTCAGAGCTTCATTCCTCTCTGACTTTAGTAAAGGAGATTAAAAATGGATTCAGTATTGAACAACAATGATATTTACAACTCTGTTAAATGCAATTTAGTGAATATTGTAGTCTTAGCCGTCAAATGCAAGATAAACATAAATGAAGTAAAGAACAAGAAAGAACAAACAAAGTTATTTTGTAAATGAAATCACTTGAAATTAAGGATGCATTGCAAGTAGGGTATTCACTGTGTGTTGATGCCTGATCACTGTAACCTACAGTTACATACTTTGTTTACTGTTAAACCCCTAAGAGTGACTAGAATCTAATTTCTCATTACTCTAATAAATCATACTTAGGTGACAAGAAAAATGGAGATGAGCACCAAATTAAGAAGCTTTTGATTGTAAAACAACTTCTCCTCGTCAGCACCTTAGGAAATGTACAGAGAACAGAATGAAGAATATGCATACTGATGTAAGGATGTAAAGGGTTAACCCTTTAACACCCAGAAGTGATTAACATGAAACTTCTCCCTATAATATCCATACATTATTCAGCAAACAGGTAATGAGAATATTCAAACTTATCAGGTAGAAGCTACTATCTTGATCTAGCTCCAAGCTCTCATAACTAATTTACAAGGAAATGTGTAGTAGCTAGAGGGGAGAATTAACAATCAGATCTTGGGAGTTAAAAGGTTAAGGGAAATATTTCTACCTGAGCCCTTGCTTTTGCCTTCTTTTCTTGAAGTTCTTTCTCCTCTCTTTCCCTCTTCTCTCTCTGCCATTGCTCTCGTTTTTTCTAAACATAACAAACACAACTATGATAAAACTGTCACTGGCAAACAGACCAAGCCACCGATAGCAAAAATATTTAAAATACTCCTGTTCATGTTTCCCTGTTCTTCTGAAGTCAGTGCCAACCATTTTTTCCCCTCCAAAATGCCCACTGCAAGCTTGAACAAGCAAGACATCACAAATGTCCTAATCCCCTGAGCCCTGAGTTAGCATCTCCATGGGAAGCAATGGAAATCAAATATCCCTCACTACACCTCTATGTAGGAGAGGTGGTTGGCAAGACCTCCTGAGGCTGGGCCTCCACAGGTCAGAGATTGAGCCTTTCTGAGGGTTACTGCATTTTTGGGTTATCTGGGGAGGGGGGGGGGGACTTGCTCTCTCAGTCCTCACTCCACCCAAATGTTACTCATGGGTACTCAGAAAAATCATTTAAAGACTGAAGGTAACCTCTCATGGATCAGCTTCTCAATCGAGAGGAGATGAAATACCTGTGGTCAAACTGTTTTAAAAAACTGGGATGTGATAAGCTGCACCAATTATGCACATCATTCTAGTAACCACAACTCATATATAAGAGGTGATCACCTGCATTTCTAGCCCTTTGCTTGCTGATGTAACAGCCTTCTGTTTCTGCTTCACGACTGTGGAGTACCCAGTTGTACCACCCACTCTGGCAGGTCTTTCATGAACATGTCGTACACGTCTGGCCTCTCTGTGAGCCCTTGCATCTTCTTCTTCCCTCCTAGCCACTGCATTAAAAGTTGTAAACCCAGTTTATAATGGACTGATGTTTACATTTTCCACATTTGCTGGACTGGTCTACGCTGAGTTGTAGTGGACTGCTCTTGACTGAATCAAACTTAAACCTATACTGACAACTGCAGTTCTTACAAATATAACAGGCTAGGGAGTGAGGTGTTTTTAAAGGACAGCAGGCTAATAATAGTGAATGTTCTTCGAAAAAACTGTTGTTTTGAGCATCTCAAACTAAAGGACAATGCTTAAAATCACGTGCACGGGGAAACCTGTTTGCCCCCAACAAACGAAAAAAACCAATCCACTTCTTCACTAAGTCCTTCGCCTATGTCTCGCCGCTGTTGAGCTTCATAGGTTAGTCTGAGGATGTGTATCCGAGAACTTCATTTTTCTCCACCAAAATTTAAAGAATAAGCAGTTGACAAATTAAGTCCCTGATCGAAATGAATGAGAACTACATGATACAAACAGTTCTTAATTTAACACAGCAGTATTTGACAACAGATATTTTAGGGGTAATTGATTAAAAAAGCATACTTTCAGTCAAATGAGCCCTCTTCTTTTCGTCTGGTCTAAACATGGTGAATCCATCTCTCCTGTTAACTCTAGGGTGATTATAGAAATTTGTCAGCATGTAAACTTGCAGTCTCAAGCAATTGATGAAAGTAATTACTAAACGGCAACTGATTTCAATGATTAAATTCAACTACAAGATTCAACCGCACATAAGTGATTTATACACCCCAGAATAATGGTTTGACCAATTCAAACATGTCAAATAATATTTGTGGAAATATAAGGTAAATTCTATTCGGTGGATTCGCGGCGTTGATAACTAAACGAGAACTTCGGTAAAATATTCTACTAATTCCACGAGTGATGCTAAGATCGATACACTGTAATGCAAGGGGGTTTCAATCCTTTTTTTCTTTTTTGGTAAGAACTCGCCTTTCTAGGCTCGGCGCGGCCGTTTCTTCTTGTTGTGGTTGTTCCGCCTGACTTCCGGTAGCACCTTGGCGTTCATTTTGTCCTTCGTTTAAGTTTGTCCTGTAGGCACCGACACCGTTTGAATTCCTGTATGTTCTCGAATAACTCATATTAGAAGAGAACAATTGCAAAAACTGCGTTTTTATCAATTCCTGGATTAATTACCGAAAGAGAATCACAGAGGTCTGTGCACTACGTAGATTTATACCGGATAAGTCCTTTCGTTTTTCAGGGAAAAAAAAAATAGGTTCTTTTCCGGGAATTCCCGCTCAAACATGAAGATGAGGCTCGTTAGAACCCAATATTATTTTAGAAAGATTGTAGAATTGTTGAAAAAAAAAAATAACACTGAGAAACGGAAATATTTCACGAATACTGCAGATTATAACCTTTAATCCTCCAAATCCCAAA